TACATTGAAGAAGTGAGTATGGCATTTGGTTTTGTGCCTCTATTCTCAAGGAAATATATCTTTTAAAAGCAAGCCTACTAATAATTTTGTCACAGAAAACCACAAGATGTTTGAGGCTTGACTGGTACTGACCTTCAGCTGCAGCTTTTTGCTGAGGCCAGGGTCTTGCTAAATGAACCCTAACTTTTTTAATGTTCAGGACTAATCAGTTTTTTCAGGAACATTATTGAGAAAGTGTTTAAAGCAATATACAAACAGCTCTCCATGTGGATATCATTTCAGACAATTTTTAATGATTTTGTAAATGACAGCATAGCCTAAAACCATTAGCTGGGACTCAAGACTCTGTGACAGAGAACAATAAGGATTCATTAATTTTCACTTCTAACTTTGACAGGCATATTTGAAATACAATTATGTTGGAGAGTAACAGCCAGCTGTTGTTGACTAATGATCTCATAATTGTACGTGTATACAATTATCTTCTTATATTGATCAAGAAATGAACATAGCAAACTGACCCAACCAGGTAAATAACTTCATGAAGACAAAGCTGAGGACACATTGTCCAGGAAGGAAAATTTGTTACCAAAAGTAAAAGATGGGTGTGTGTTTTTCTTCTATGAATAAGAATGCCGAAGTGCTCATTGCGTGGAGCTGATACCTTTGTCAACGTTGAACTGTTCTGTGCTAATCAAAAAGTACTAGGATTGAACCTTCTTTGAAAATCTTTATGAAACAGATCCACCAAAAAACTTACACAGGCTTGTAGCTACCCAGGCACTTTATGGAAGTCTCAGTACAGGGCATGGTAAACAAAATCCAAATCCTGGAAATCAGCTTTCTCTTCCAGAATGCACTAAGGATCACATGCAGTGGCCAGGACTCCCCATGCAGTGCCACAGTCCCATGGCCCGTTTAACCAGCAGGTGCTGCACTGTGAGAGACCACCTCCACTCTGCACCAGCACAAGATTGACAGAGGTGGCACAGGAACCTGTCTCAGGTAAATGCTCAAAAATGCTTTTGTGGGATAGTTTTCAGCCAGATTTATTCCTTGAATTACTCCACCATGAAGCCACTCCAGCACACGTGACCAGGCAAGAAGAGTAAGAATGAATGGCCTGGGATGAGGCTGGGAGGGAGTGGGAAACCGTTCTTTCTTGAGGACTTGTTTTGATTTACACTTTCGTGGGAATAACTAGAACCAGTGTTAAGGAAATGGAGACAAAAGGCAATGGCAGGAATTAGGTATATCTTGACATCTACCTCATTCAAGGATAATCTATCCCCACTATAAGCTAGAAGTTAAATTCTGAAGCTAACCCTCTCTCATTAAGTGGGAATGGGGAGGAGTCTGTACCTGAACACCTCAGAATACTGAGTAACACTCAGAATACTGAAGTGCTTCCCTTGCCTAATGTGATTTGATCAAACACTTCCTGTACCAGGTAGTAGGCTTATTCCTCCCCTCAACATGTTGCAACTGTGGCAGGGTTGAGACATGAGCGGGTGAAATCTCTAACATGGTGACTAAGGTAATTGCTGGCAACTGAAATTTGATGAGTTCTTACACTCAATTCCAATTCATCCTTTGCATATAATTATTTAGTGTTAATTAGAGAAAGAATGAAAACCCCAGTACTTTTCTATCCATGTCAGTGCCTGCACCAGCAAGATATTAGGTCATGTCATCTCCTGTTCACTTTGGGAGGCTTCCATGCAAAACAGAAACATCTGACTCAGAGAGAACCCTGCAGCAGCTAGAGCATTTATTTTGCAGAAAGATGCAAGCTCAGACAGAAAGGAGATTTGAATCCCAGCATCCAACTTCTGGGTGTAACATCAGGCAGAAGACACAGCAAGTATCCTCAGCCTCTAAGGTGCGTTAAGGCTGCACATGAAATCAAAGGGGACTGTTGGCTTGGCTCTGCACCTCAGCAGGCCTGATTTGAGAGAGGTGGGGAATGGCTCAGGGCCGTCAGGACTGAAGCAGCTCTGTTGGCTCTCAGGAGCAGAGCTAGAAGCACATCCACACTGTGAATATTCAGAGCTGAACCTGGATGGAGCACCATAGGCACATGGAGATCTAGCCACCCGTAGACATTTAAATGTTACCAGGCCTCAAACCTATTTTACAGCAGAGGAGTGATTGGTAGGGAAGATGTGCAGCCCTGGTCTTCAACTGTTTCCAAGGGATCTGCAAATTATGTGCACCTCTGAGAATCAGAGTCCCAGGATGTGGCAGCAGCTGCTTCCTCCTTCCCTTTGGCTCCATCCCCACATTCAGTTGCAAACAGCCGAGATGGTTCCTAATACGGAGATGTGAGTCTATTTAACACAGCAAATCCAGACAAACTGCTGTACAAGCTTAGATCCCAAGAGAGGCTAATTCATTACTGTAATGACCAAACCCCATTGTCTCAAGAGGTCTTGTGACAAACTGATTTTTCAACATGGCAACTCTACTTTTGCCTTTACTTTTGTGGAACAACAGCAGTATTACCCAGAGCAAAACAAAGCTCTATTTATTACAAATCAGAAACTTAAGATACAGTAAGGGGAATCAGTGTTGAGTGTGCATATTACCATTATAAAATAAATATATTGCAGAACTACTGTAACAAGCTCTATAAGCAAACTAGTATCAGAAATCTGAGATGCTCAGAATTAAAATTCCAAAAATCTCAGTATGTTCAGATCTGAAAAGGCTCAGTAAGATGCACAACCTTAACCCTGTATCCTAACAACCGTACTCATACAATTGATACAGTACAGTCACATTTTAAAAACTGTAACCAAAATGAGGTTTTTCTTTCCTCCCTCATGGTCTTGCTTTAAAGTCTGTCAAAAGATGATTGGCACACCTTCCTCAAATCCCAGTATTTCCTGCAGAACCTGCCCTACTTGCCAGTGCACATCACTGAGTTATGTACAACTGTACAATTAATGTACCTGCCAATTAGATGACTTGTTTGTGGTATAACTCTTAAGACCAAGGCAACAGAACAGAGCAGAACTTTTCAGTTAGTAATACACATTTCCAAATTTTAACATACAGCCAGTTTATTGAATGAAATATGAAACATTTTCAGAATTTAATCTCAAAATATAGTTGGAACAGGATATATACAGCGTCTGTTTATTTGAACGTGCTGCCAGGAATACAAACCTCTCCCATTGAGATGCGTCAGCAATGATATACAGACGGGAAACTAAATTAAAATGGGCAATTAGGTATTAAACAAGTGAAAAAACACCTTGTCAGAATAATTCTCTCCCTACATTAAAAACAGTCTATGCCTTATGTAATTCTAAAAAAGCCTGAATATGGCTGCCAGACACCAGCAGCATTCCAAGAAAGTCAAGCACATGGTACCTGGATATAAAAATGTAAAATTTTCACTCATGACTGAAAGCAAAAGAGGGGAGCAGATTGAGTTGCACACTAACTACATATGGTACAGCTTTGACTAATTTTTTTTTTTTGGAGAATATGTATTTTTAAGATGGTGCTCTTCAGGTTTATTTTAGTACTTTACTTGCATAAAAATTCTGTACATCTCCAAGTCACTGACGAGCTGAAAGTCACTGCTGATGGTAGCACATAAAATGGGGAAAAAGCGTAAAGTGCCACTATTTGCTAGCAACCCACCCTCCCCATTTCTGCTAAGAATGAACAAATGCCAGGTTTACTTCAAAGATTAATGTGTGATATTCAGATATTTCAGCAGACCCATGAAACAAAAACATCACATAAATAGAACAATTCTCAAAAGCCAAAATCCTCCTTGCTTTACAGTGAACACATCCACGTAGTCAGAGAAATTTCACCTGCTTCCTCTGATGTAACTCTCTGAACAGAAACTTGCTTGAGGAAAGCAAAGTGATATTCAAGTAACCAACCAGCTTGTACCATTATTGCTGGTTAAAATAGCTTAAAGCCACACGTCAGATACTACAACTAAGAACTAAGACATCTATTGAAAAGAAATTCTCTGTCGTCTTTGGTTTCAGCTTTCTCTGGAAGTTTGTATGTGACCATGAAAGCTAGAAACTAACCTTAAAAAAAAGTACTTTTTCCTTTGACTACTTTACAAAAAAACAAAAACAAACAAAACAAACAAAAAAAAAACAAAACAAAAAAAAAAAAACAAAGAAAAAACTTACTTGGAGCTCCACATAACCTTTGGTTAGTTTTTATATTTGTCTTTACTAAACAGCAGCACAATCAGCAAACTGCCTTCCAACACTGTACAAATGCCGCATCACCCCACGGTAAGAGGGATACAGCGCTCCTGCGGGCACCGCAACATGTTTTATCCCAGATAATGAATCAGCAAAATTCAAATAAATAGTAATGAAAAAAAAAGTAAAATTGCACATCGGTTCTCCTTGTGACTCCGGGGAATTTCGCGACTACAGCACTGCCATGTCCTCTCAGCAGCGCCTGAGGGGTTGTGAGAGAAGCCACCCGCCACCGCCGCAGGCCGCAGCCCCACAACAGCCCTGAGGCAGGACCGAGAGTCCGAGGAAGCCGCCAGCAGTCCTGCGCTCAGGGAAGCAGGGCCCGCAGATGCCCTCGCACCTCCGGGCAGCATCTCCCGCACCACCCCCGGGGCACTCCCCATCATCACCGCGGTACGTGGCTGCCTCAGCTCCAGGCTCCGGGCCGCTCCGCTCCCTGCCCGGCCCCGCCCCGCTATCGCCCGCCCCTCCCCGTTGCCGCCGCTCGGGCCCGGCAGCCCTGCCCGGGGTTCCGGCGCGTGGATCCCGCAGCGCTCCTGATCAGCCGTCTTCCGCCGCGGGCCCCTCCAGCTCCGGGGCGAAGGCCGGCCCACAGTGCGGTCCTATTGGTCCATTTAGCCCCGGCTCTCTCTCGCTGCAGGCCGCGAGAGGGTGCACCTCCCCGCCGATTGGTGGGGCGCTATGGCGCGTGCGCCGCCCATGGCCTCGCCCGTCCTTCTGGGACCCCCCCCTCCCCGCCGTCATCCCTCCCCCCCCCCCCCGCCGCGGCCGCCGGCAGCGGGAGCGCTCTGTTCTCGCACGGTTCCCCCTCACCCCGTTATGGCGGTCGCTGCAGAGGAGCCGTTCCCCTTCCACGGTCTCCTGCCTAAGAAGGAGACTGGTGCCGCCGCCTTTCTTGCCCGCTTCCCCGACTTCGACGGACGGGGGGTGCTGCTGGCGGTGCTGGACACCGGCGTGGACCCGGGGGCGCCGGGCATGCAGGTAATGGGCGGGTAGCAAGGAGCCGCCTCGGGCGGCGGCCCTCCAAGGGCGGTGGGAGCACCCGGGCCCTGCCGGGCTGCGCTACCTGGGGGCCCGGGACGAGTGTGGGGCCGGGGCGCTCGTCCAGGCGCGGCCGCAGCCCCCGGGCGGCCGTCGGTAGCGGGACAGGCCTTTGAAGGGTTGTCTGGGGACTTGCAGTTGGGGTGTTTGTTTGCTTGCTCACAATTCCCGCTAAGCACACACTTCGCGTGAGCGTGGGCTCTTGCTACGGCAGGGCGGGGAATCCTGCCGGTGGTGCTCCGCGCGGGTCACTTCGGGTGTTTGTGCGAGGATCCTCCTTTTAAGCCCTTCACAGAGGTTTTAGGGTACTTAAATCTCTTTCATTGTCTTCTTGCACGTAGCACTCGTTGTGAAAGAATAGTCTGTGGATTTTGTTAAGCTTTACCAAACTTCAACAGGAGGTGGCTTGAGGCTACAAACAGCGGCTTAGATCTTTTACATGAAAAGTGTATTTCTGGCAAAATTTGCATTCCTCTCTCAGTGTGTTTTTTGTGCGTTGTATTGCAACAACAATCCGTGTCAGATTTGGTTCTGCCGGCTTTTTTTGATCGTAGTTCAGATCGCAGAGTGATTGCCGTAATTATTTCAATCTCAGTTTTGTGAATTTCTGTGTGACTTTAATTTTTGCACTCCTCAGCACTTCCTTAATTCTTTTAACTGTAGCATGTAAGTTTGGATGTGGCCTTTTGTTTCATTACTCCTTCCTGCTTCTTGTTGGCATATTTTCTCCAAGATGTTGCAAAGGAAGCCCTGAGAAGTGATTCAGAGAGAGTTGCAGGGAACTTGCTTGGGTATGGAATCCTTTATTTTTTTTAACTAAGCAGGGCCTGTGTTAGTTTGTTTTTTTTTTCTCTTTCTTTGGCACAAGCATCGATTTTAGTCCTAAGTGACCTACTTCAGGGACCTAACCCTGGCAGATCTTTAGTTCAGTGTTCTGAAATGACTCCTTGTGGATTTCAGCTAAGTAAAAGGATGAGTGAAGAGAACAGGTAGGGTGAAAGGAGGGACTGGGCAGCTATAACTTCAGTTGATTTAAGCTGCAATAAAGCTGGTGATCTTGGTAAAATATTGAGGGTAAGTGGAATAGTAATTGGGAAGCTCAAGAAAGCTTGCTAAAAAGCAAAGTTAATACCATGGGCACACCAGAAAGTAGTGAAAGACAGTTGGGAAAATGTGAATATAAAGGGGTGTGTCTAATTCTGAAGTTTCACATATGAAAACAAAAACAAAAAACCCTAAGTCTCTGAAGGTTATAAGTGAGGAATAGTCAACTAAAAAAAAAGGGGGGGGGGGGGCATGAGTTTATGGACAGTAGAGGGAAGCTTTGTTCTGAGATAGGCAACCCAGGGCTCATGAGGGATACTTATGAACCCTCATGATCTCAGTGTTGATGATACCAATTTTATTCAGCCTGTTTTATGCGGAGGATAATGTTACAGGTGGTGAAGTAAAAAATCTGTGGGGAACTTTGTGAGGGTGTGTATATTATTAATTTTGTGATGGGTGAGAGTGAGTTTGCAAGGATGTTGGAGGAACATTTGAAGAAGCTGTGTGGTCTTTCCATGCTGCTATAGAAAGAGTAGCTACTGGGCTTAACAAAGGTTCTTGCATCCGGTTTATTTCTCTGTTGGTTGGCTGGCTTTGCCACACAAAACATTTTATTATCTAACTTCTACTTACTTTTGTGTTCTTTCTTAATCTTTTGTAGCCAGTGCCCTCTAGGGGAACACTTTTCATCTCGTCTTCCCTTGCTTTACGCTCCACCTGTTGATGCCAACTGTGAAGTTCAGTTTGTTTTTTTCATGCTATTTTTTTCCCTTCTTCATTTCTTTGGTAGAATTTATTTCCTGTTGTTATCTGTTGTGTCATGGCTTGCAATTCCTCACTAAGGCACAGGAGATGGTAAAATTTTAGGTGGGCAGATAAGGTACATTTAAGGGATGTGTTGTGGCTGTGTATATATAGTGTTTGTTCAGCCCCACCCTGCCCTTTACCTGTTGTTGTTGTCACTACTTATGTTTCACAATAGATAGGTCAGTTCATCTGCTTCTTGCAAGTTTGATTATTTTGTGAAGTGCCTGTTGGAGTTGTTGTTATTATAATTATTATCTAAAACTATCTCATACGTTTATGGGATGATGTTTTAGCAGTAGCAGCTTGAGTTGGCTTGACCTGTTTTTCAGCACTGAGTTAATTTTCAAATAATTTTCTTTTTTATTTGTGATGATGATCAGCTGTCCCGTGACCCAAGTGCTGAAGAACTTGTTCATCTCCTGTTGCTGCAATAGCTGTCAGTTGGAATCAGTAATATTGTATCCTCTGGCAAAAGCATGCTCAAATGCATCTGGCTTTGCCTTTTAATTTGGGAGTGTCGCAGATACTGGTGCTCCTTCACTTCTGGTCAGCTGCCAGGATTATGCAGATAGATTTGTTTCGGTTTTTTTTTAGTTTTTTTACTAAAATTTACTAATTTATTTGCTTTATGATGTCACAGCTAACATGAGAGTATGTTTTTCAAACTTCAAACTAAAAAGCATAAACAAGTCATAAACTTGTAAACTGTTTCATGTATTTTTTCAAATGGTTGTAGGCAAATCATGATATTAAAGGTAGCATTGGGGGTTCTAAATATGCTGTAAATATTTTTAATTTTATTTTTTTTTAGCGCAAAAGGTACTAAAACATACCTTGATTGTAATAAATTCATTATTTCCAGTTTTTTTCTGTTCACATGAGGGAGTTGATCAAGTTCACTTCTTTTTTTTTTTATTTTATTTTTTCCTCGGAATTACAGTCCTTGGAAGAATCCTTGGGGGAAAAAAAAAACAACCACCAACCTACCAACCAAAAAAAACCAAAGAAAACCACCAGAACTGAGTTTCACTGTAGCATTACTACTGGTGGGCAGTATGTCAGCCCAGTTCATAACAGCAGAAGCAGCCACGCTGGTTACTTGTACTAAGTGACGGGACGGTGAACCTGTGTGGTTCACTGCCATTAGCAATTGAGTCTTCGACCTTTGTACCTGAAAACCAGACCTTTGAGTCTAACTGCAAAATTCCAGTTTGTCAGTTCTAACTATACAAACTCACGTGCACCTTTGGACCTGCTGTGAGGTGAAGTGCCGTGTAGTGTAGGAATTGTTCATTGTCTTGCTGGCTAGACAACTTTAAAAACTACCCAAGTTCACTGTGGCATAAATCTGTGTTCTGGCCACCTGTTGCAGTATAACTTGTCTTCTTCCAACAGGTCACCTTGGATTACATCTTCATTCTTTTCTTGTGTTTTGATCACTGAACAATTCACTTTCTTTAGAGACATATTGAAAAATGTCCAATTCTGATAATCTCAGGGTTGTCTTTGCAGTTGCTTTATTATTGGAGCAGCTCTTGACTTTCTGTAAGTAGAGTGGCATTTGAAGAAATTGATTACAAACACTAGAAAACCATATGGTTTGAGTGCCTATGCGCTGTGTTTAGCAAGTAAAATTTCACTAGTGTGCAGCTGTTATTCAGTGGATGTTTTACCAGGTTAATATGCTTTAACAATTTTCAAACCTGAACATGAATTTCTGTAAACAGAGTAACAGTGCTGGTTTCTGTAATGGAAATTTTTTCTTAGCAAATCTCTTCTAAAGCAGTATTTGTTACCTTCTGGGAAATTAAATGAATGTCCTTCTTATGGTTGTTATGAGTTTAGGATTTTGGGGCTTGGTCTTTTTTTTCCTGGCCTGTTGAAGCCTGGTTTTATATGGGAGAGTGGTTGCTTGTTACTTTTCTGTATGTTGTTTAGTTGAGTTTTGGGATTTTTGGGGTGGTTGTTTGTGGGCGAGTGGTTTTCTGTTTTATTTGTGGTTTGTTGGGTGTCTGTTGTGGAGGGTTTTTTCTTTGCTGTGCTTTTGTTTGTTAAGGTTTTCCCCTTAACCATAAGAATTTGAGACCTTGGAAATACTTATTTGTTGAAGTGTGATAAAAGCTTGAACCTTGTTGTCTTTTTGATAGCAATGGAGTGATTTTTATGAAACAGCTTGGTCATGTTAAATTCAGCAGCTGAATTCACAATTCCAGAGCATGATTTGAGCAAAACTACATGTAGTGTATGTTATGTCTAGCATCAAAATTATTGATAGAGAATAAAGACAACAATACCAAATATTTAAATGGTAGAGAAGAGCAAATATTGCTGCTTTTCTGAACAAGCAGCTTTTTTCACTTTCAGTGTAGTTATTGTATAGAAGGTGTTGAGAAGATTTTTTTTTTTTAATCTTTAGCGTAGAAGCATAAGAAGATAGATGCATATGACCAATTCATAGTATCATAGAATGGTTTGGGTCAGAAGGGACCTTTAAAGGTCATATAGTCCACCCCCCCCCACAACGATCAGGGAAATCTTCAACTAGATCAGGTTGCTCAGAGCCCTGTCCAACCTGACCTTGAATGTTTCCAGGGATGTGGAATCTGCACCTCTCTGGGCAACCTCTTCCAGTGCCTCACCACCCTCACAGTGGAGAATTTCTTCCTCATAGCTAATGTAAACCTACCCTTTTTCAGTTTAAAGCCATTACTCCATGTCCCATCCCTGCATGCCCTGAAGGAAGTCCCTTTCCAGATTTCATGTTGGCCCCCTTATAGGCACTGGAAGCTAACTCTAAGGTCTCCCCAGAGCCTTCTTTCCAGGCTGAAGAAGCCCAACTCTCTCTGCCTGTCTTCATAGGAGAGGTGCTTCAGCCATCTGAATTCATATTGCCCTTCAAGAAAATACTGCTGTATATGGAGTATAGTTTATTTCTCGAATGAACTCATACGATACCTACTAGATGAAGCGTGTTATTACAAGAAGATAATATTGAATATTTTTGTAAATGGAAAATAACATAAAAAAAATCTTAGTCTTGGTAATTGTGTAGAAGGTTACTCTAGGTGAAAGGAACTTTGGAAAGGTTAGTGGTTTCTTTTTTGATGTTTAGTTGCCTGCAGCTACTGTAAAGTCCATCAGGGCTAGTTTTCATTTAATTTGAAGAGGCTTTAAAGTTATGGTCATTAACACTGTTCTTACCAAGTCTCAGCTCCCTTTCTCCTCACCCTGGTGAAAATACTTCTTGTACAGTATTAGGGTATATAGCAGTACTTCCTAAGACTTCAGATTGGTTAAAACGAGTAGAATCCTTGACAAAGGAAAAATAAGATGATGATAACTTGTGCTCCTTTTAGGTTTAAGCTCAGTTAAGAGACTCAAGCTTGTGAGTGCCTGTAATTAAGCACCTTTCATTTTGTTAGAGTTGTGTGTTCATTACGGTAAAATTTGGCCACAGTGGTGGGATGGAAGCAACACAGCAGTTTATTTGAACACATATAGTAGTTTTTGCAAATTTCAGCTTGGTTTTAAATTGGGACTCCTGTGCTTTATTGATATAATGTTTTTACTTGTTTGTCTTCTAAATCCTTTTTAGAAATTAGTTAATTTGTATAAACTAGAAAGATGGGCACATTGCTTTTAGTTCATTGAAAATTTAAGTAATTTAAAGTTGGGTTTATGTCTTTCCATTTAATGTTGGGTGCTTAAGAAAATTGGTTGATATTTTCATTAACAATCATGAAAAAATTCATGGATTTTGTGCTGAAGGGTAATCAACTATGTTTTCATTTTTCTGTATTCATATTTTCAGATTACAACTGATGGGAAACCCAAGATAATTGATATAATTGACACAACAGGCAGTGGTGATGTAACTACGTGTACCATTGTGGAACCTAAAGATGGAGAAATTGTCGGTCTGTCTGGAAGAACTTTAAAGGTGAGTATTGACTGCTGCAGAGACACTACTGGGCATCTTTTCCTTTTTTATTTAACTACAAATTTAGTACTTATTTTAGTTTCTGCAGAACTTAGTTTCTTTTAACCAGATGTCATGGTTTAACGCCAGCTGGCAACTAAGCCCCACACAGTCGTGCACTCACACTCCCCCTAGCAGGATGAGGGGAAGAGACTTGGAAGGGTAAGAATGAGAAAACTTGCATGTTGGGGTAAAGACAATTTAACAGGTTAAGCAAGATCTGCGTGTGCAAGCAGAGCAAAGCAGGGAATTCATTCACTGCTTTCTGTTGGCAGGCAGGTGTTCAACTTGTGGGGAGATAGTTCTAGAGACTGAAAAACCTGTGAGGACTTGGTTGTAGGCTCACTGCATTCTCACTATAAATAGAACAGAAATCCTGTAGGGTTTTGAAAAGGATATGATGAGATCTGGCAGGGGTCTGAGCTTAGAACTGCTGATGCTACTGGCATAATTTGATTGATGAGGTGATATGAGGGCATCAGCTCTTTGGATCTTCCCATGATACCAGCTTCTGAATTTTGCACAGAATACGGTTGTAAGGGCGAATCTGTTGCGCTTTTTTTTTTCTTTTTTTTCAGCTAGGAGTAGTGGATCTGATGTACTGAGAGTCTAAGCTGTAGTGAGATATGAAAGTAGATATTCAGATGTTTCTCATGACTTCAAACCATAACACCCCTTCATGCTATGGTGCTGCTTTTCATTTATAGCGCTGTTATTTTCACAGACCTCTACCCAGTAAAGTCACTGCTGGGACTTTATGTTTTCAAAGTAGATCATCAGGGCAGTGGTTACTTAGTTGTTCAATGGCAGTGTCACGTGAATTAATAGTGATTCCTTTTGAAATGGATTGAAATTGCCATGTCATGTTGTTGAAACTTAGTGCACGTGTTACTGTCATGGAGGCAGGGAATTAAATTGGTGATACTTGCAAGTCTCTCCTCTAAGCTCTCTTACAGTGTTGATTTTTCATATTTTTTTTTTTTAATGCCATTGGTTAACGGATTTCTGAATATACTTTTCTGCAGATTCCAGCAACCTGGGTAAATCCTTCAGGCAAATATCACATTGGCATAAAAAATGGCTATGATATCTATCCTAAAGCTCTTAAGGAGAGGATTCAGGTAAGAAATTACATTTTGCATCTAGTGTAGTGTATAGTCATATTTCACTGTTCTGACTCCTAAATTTTTCTAGGAAACTTTGATATATGATTTATTAACACGTGTAGGCTGCTGATCAGCACTTGAAATCTATTCTCTCGCTTATTGTTGCTTAGTTTTGACATGATCCATTTCTTCTGTGATTTTTTTTTTTAGAACAGTCCAGTCAGTGGTCCTCTTCACAGTGGCAAAACGGTCTAGAAATTACTGATAGCAGTTTCTTTTGTCTGTGTGGTGTTTGATGTTCATTTATCGTATTGTATTGAACTTTTCTAGCTATTGTGTCTCAAAACAGAATTTTTATATTACTTTTGTAGTATAGATACTTGGACATAGGTATTTGTCCATATATTGAGGAACCTGGTTTTATTCTACAGAAAGAACGCAAGGAAAAGCTCTGGGATCCCATTCACAGACTGGCTCTAGCAGAGGCCTGTAGAAAACAAGAAGAATTTGATGCGGCTCATAGCTCTCCCTCCCAGGTTTGGATAAGTAAATTTATAAACTTGTTTGCAACAATTTGTAACTGGTTGAGAGGATTAAAATACTTTGTTAGATGAGTGAAGGGAAGATACTTGTGATTCTTTTGGCAGATCACTTGCTAGTTTATCTTCTGATTAATTTAAAAAGTCTATATATGGATGGTTGTTTCATTTGCTTAGTGCTGTTAACTGTCTAAACTTGTCAAATGCAAAAAGGGTGTTACTTCAGATACTTTGTAGCAGGTTTTTTTAGTAAGTTTTATTTTTAATTTAATATGCTGGTGTTTTTAAGGCTATCATCCTTGGTGTGTTCAAAGTTGGAATCTTCTAAACATATCCTTTATTTTGTAAGCTAGGTACTATTTCAGTGAAGTACCAGGAATACCTCAGGTCACTCCTCTAACATTTAATGACGCAAAAATAAATAAATAGATAAGGGCTTTAAACTTTACAATTACAAAAACTGGAAATAGTTATGCAAAACAGGCCAAAAATAAACAGTGCACTGTTGGAAGGCGATTAAACTTCTAGATGTTTGTGACTCCTAGGATAATCTTGCATTCTTAGTGAAGTGACGTAACAAATGTATAACGTCAGAAAGAAATGTAAGACTACCTATCTTGTAACAACTTTAGAAACAGTCTAACTGTATTCTTGTTACCTTACTAGGTAAATAAGCTGATAAAGGAAGAACTTCAAAATCAAGTGGAACTGTTGAATTCTTTTGAGAAAAAATACAGTGATCCTGGCCCAGTATATGACTGTCTGGTATGGAATGATGGTGAGACCTGGAGGTAAATGCCTAAACTTGTATAACTTGTCATCATCTACACATAAAAATCCAGCTTGCATTGAAGGCTGTGTTAACTTTCAAATCTACCCTCTTTATAGAGTTCTTAATTATTATTTGCTTTAAGATAATCCTACTGTATCATTTGAGTTTCATGACAAAGTTCCAACCCCAAATGAAGATGGGGTAAAATGAAGTCTTATTAAAGACAGCATGATGCAAAGGGGGTAAGCTTGTGGGATTTTCCTCTGAGGCAGAGTAAAATCACTTTGAGTATCCATTGGGGCGGGGGGGGGGGGGGACGACGACAAAGCCACCAACAACCAAACCCCAAAACAGCAGCAACAATAAAAAACACCCCCCCCGAAACACAGAAGTCTTTACATAAACTTCAAGATGTAACATGGCACTTTTCTTGACTTATAATGTGCATCATACAAAATGGTGGGTAAGACTTCACATGTTTATATACTGGCACTGAACAGCTAGTATTAGTAAAATTTCTTCCTTGAAGAAATTGCTGGAATTTCCATATGCTTTCTTTTCTAAGAAGGATTTATTTGAATTTAGTAGCATTTGAAAGTGAGTTTATTTAGAGATCTTTGCAGATTCTGAATCTTAAGTGCGAACAACCCAGTTTGAAAATATTGACTTAAAGAGTTAAGGTACTGTAAACACAGAACCAGACTTCTTGAATTCTTTGTGGTGGTACACTTTGCTGTGGGGGCAAGATAACTGAAAGCTTACAGCAGCAGGAAAATAACCATTTTGTTTGGTCAACAGAGCCTGCATAGATACAAGTGAGAGTGGTGACTTGACAAGCTGTACAGTGCTGAGAACCTACAAAGAGGCTCAGGAGTATGGATCCTTTGGAACATCTGAAATGTTGAATTATTCTGTGAATATATATGATGATGGAAACCTTCTTTCCATTGTGACAAGTGGAGGTAAATGAAAATAAGAAAATTTTGCTGCTGAGCAGCATCAGTTTTGGGGTCTTGATTTTGATACTTGGGATGGCTCAAGGCAGCTATCTCAATACAGCATTCTGTATTCTGCATTCTGTGGCAGTCAAGATCAGTATTCAGATTTTCTCAACTGTAGCTATAATGACAGCTCATTACCAAACTTGCTTGCATTTTTGTCTGAAATAGTTAACTATATGTTCAAATGCCTACATAAATACAGTGTGTACAGTTTAAGTGCTCTATAAGGTGTTCTTGCATCTTAATGCCTAAAACAGAGAGAACCTTCTTTCAAAGTACCTTTTTTTGTTTTGCTTCTTAAATATAGGTGATGACTGATTTTTACTTGCTGTGCTTTGTGTTTGTATGATTTAAGAATCTTAAATAAGACTTACCTGTGAACAAAAGGTGTATTGATCTTTATTTTGGTTTATCCAAACTTTTTTGTGATGGCAGATGTCAGTATAGCTGAGGCTCTAACCACTCTGAATATGTGTGTTCTTTATATAATCTTGTTATGTTTTGGAAGCATCCTAAGTGGTTATGGTGATGTGGATATATTTGGTTTGAAAAATGCTCTTAAGTTATCATTAAACAATCCTATGTCAGTAGAACTACAGAAGCAGTTCTGGTTTCTAAATTGATGATCATTTTTTGAGAGATTCCTTTTTATCTCAACAAAAACTTTGTGCAGTTTTTGGTTTGTGGTTTTGTTGTTGTTTTTTTGTTTTTTTTTTTTGTTTGGGTTTGGTTTTTGTTGGTGTTTTGGTTTGGGTTGTTGGTGTTTTTTTTTCTTTCTGGTTTGTTTTTTTTTTTTCTGTTAGGGTGTTTGTTTGTTTTGTTTTTACTTAATTCCCACTATCTGAGTCATCTCAGGTATAATTTTCACAACTTAGAGTAGAAAGTGTTGAGCCTTTAAAGTAACTTCCATTAGTAGGATTAAGTGAACACATCCTTTTTATCTGCCTCTTGCCTCCTTTCTCCCTTCAGAAAGCTGTTTTATTTTCCAGATGGCTGCTGTTCACTGGGTTGTTTTGTTTTTTTTTCCTTAGAATAACAGGACATTTGTTTAATAAGTGATTTAAAGCCTGGGCTCATTTTAAAGAATTGTGGAACCATTTAGGTTGGAAAAGACCTGTAAGGTTGAGTCCAACCGTTAACATTGCGGTGTCCCTAAGCACCATCTCTACAGTGTATTTTAAATACCTCCAGGGATGGTGACTCAGCTGCTTCCCTGTGCAGCCTGTTCCAATGCCTGACAAATGTTTTAGGGAACAAATTTTTCTTCCTAAAGCTGTCCTGGCTTAACTTGAGGCCAGTATGTCTTGTCCTATTGTTTGTTACTTGCAAGAAGAGACCAACCCCCGCTTCACTACAGCCTCCTTTCAGGTAGTTATAGAGGGTGATAAGGTCCCCCCTGAGCCTTCTGTTCTCCAGACTAAACAACCCCAGTTGCCTCAGCCATCCCTCCTAAGATTTGTTCCCCAGACTCTACACCAGCTTTGTTGCCCTTTTCTGACCCACTCCAGCACCTCAATGTTTTTCTTGCAGTGAAAGGCCCAGAACTGAATGCAGGATTTGAGGTGCAGCCTCAGCAGGGGCATGATCTCTTCCCCAGTCCTGCTGGCCACACTATTTCTGATACAGGCCAGGATGCTGTTGGACTTCTTGGCCCCTTGGGCATGCTGCCGGCTCATATTCAGCAGCTGTTGACCACCACTCACGTCCTTTTCCATTGGGCAGCTTTCCAGCCACTCTTCCCCAAGCCTGTAGCCTTGCATGGGGATGTTGTGACCCAAGTGCAGGACCTGGCACTTTGCTTTGTTGAACTTCATACAGCTGGCCTCAGCCCAGTGATCCAGCCTGTTCAGACCCTCTGTAGAGCCTTTCTACCCTCAAGCAGATCAACGCTCCTGCCCAACTTCGTGTTATTTGCAAAATTATTCAGGGTGCACTGGATGCCCTCATCCAGATCGTTGATAACATTATTAAACAGAACTGGCTCCAATCTTGAGCCCTGGGAAGCACTACTTGTGACCGGCTGATAACTGGATTTATATACTTAAAGCTCAATAAATGAGAAGTAGTGTATTAAATTTGTGTAAATGAAGTTCACTAAAGATATAGTGATACAAGTTTTTGTTTCCTCAGGAGCGCATGGAACACATGTGGCTAGTATTGCAGCTGGATACTTTCCAGAAGAGCCAGAACGAAATGGTGTGGCTCCTGGAGCTCAGATTCTTGCAATCAAGATTGGTGATACAAGACTAAGTACAATGGAAACTGGCACTGGTCTAATAAGAGCTGTGGGTATTACACTGACTAAACGATTAATTTCAGCAGTGTGACTTAGTGTTCCACAATATTCTACAATTTTGTTCTCTGCTTGCTCATAGGGAGTGCTTTTATAGTTCTAAAATATTTCCAACAAAAAGAAGTAAGCAAGCAAATGCCAACAACCCTCCTCCTCAAAGAAAATCCAGAACAAACAAAAATAAGCCAACCAAAAAAACCTCCAAAGCATACCAGAATGTATTTTAAAACATATCTTAATACTAATGTTTTAGCATAAAACAAGTCTTCTGTTGTACAGAGCATTTAGAGATTTTTACAGACTAACAGAGGTGTAGTGTGTCTGGCTATCTTGACATGTGGGTGAAGTTACTTACATGCACATTTCTAGTTCCTTATTCTGTGTTGTGAGCATGTTTTTTTATAGTTACATAGGTAACTATAGAATGCTTAAATCTAGTATCTGCTAATATGGGTGATTTGTTTTTTGGTGTTTTTTTTTTTGTTTGTTTGGCTTTTTGGTTTTTCTTTTTACTCACTTTCTGAAAAGTGAGGAAAGATATAATTCCTTTTTAATGAAAAAAGGCCCAAGACCTTTTCCATATAATGAATTGATGGGGGATAAAAATCACACAAGAAAAGGAACAGAAAATAGAAAACTATACTTGTGGCCCATTGTCGTGGTTTAAACCCAGTCAGGTAGCTTGTTCACTCACTCCCAGTGAGTGGTGCCGAGCTGACAACAATCGAGGTCCGTGTCCGTCTTCCCCCCCCCTGCCTCCCCGCACCGGGGCTCTCCCCTTCCCCGCTCCCGGAGGAACGGGGAGGAGGATCGAGAGAGTGCAACTCCTACGGGTTGAGACAAAAAACAGTCCAGCAACAAATCACCACCGCTACTATCAGCTACAACAATGATAAGGGAAAATAACAAGGGAAGAGAATACGATACCACCGGCCAAGAGAAACGAGCTCCACCCGGAAACCCCTTTTCCATTACCCCCCACCCCGGGCATGACGTGCTGTGGTATGGAATACCTCCCCGGTGATCAGGCGCCCCGTCTCTGCTTCCTCACAGCCTCCCCTCCTCCCTGGCAGAGCATGAGCCTCACAGAGTCCTTGGTCAGGGTAAACATCACTTAGCAACAACTGAGAACATCGGCTTCACCAGCACTGTTCTCAAACTGGAAGTCAAAACACAGCACTGTACCAGTTAACACAAAGGAAAAACATGACTGCTACTGCGGAACCCAGGACACCCATAGTATATCTTGCAACACAAAGATGCACTATAATGTTTTTACAACTTTTGGGAATTTAACCAAACTGCACAAGAAAAGAGAATTTTATGTTGTTGAGTACAGATATTTGAGACAAATACTAATGAAGTATGCAGTTTTCTCTTAGGGTACTGTTAATTTATAGCTTGGAACATGACAAAAGTTAGGCTGTTCAGGGACTGGGGTTTTTATTCTGGTTATTCACTGGGGAAATAGCACTTAAATAACTGATTGAAGTAAATTATTTTCTAGAATTAAAAGAAATATATCCCATTTTCTTAGATCTATAGCAGATCAGTTTAAGCAGATGTTCTTTGCCATTCCTTACTTGACATATTCTATCATTAGGATGTATTTTGGCTTTTATTTTTACTTTATCAGATGATAGAAGCAATAAAATACAAATGTGATCTCGTCAACTATAGCTATGGAGAGGCAACACATTGGCCAAATTCTGGGTGAGTACCACTGTGGTTAATATAAAGTATTGTAATATGAATTACGTACATTTGTTGAGCTTTGTGTAAATGAACTGTCAGGCTCAGACAATTCATATACATTAAACTGTTGCAGTTTATATTTTTAACTGACTATAGTATAAAAATGTTTCAGAATAATAAAGAATTTTTGTAGTTGGAGCACCCCATAATTGGGGGGGGGTAAAAACCTAATTTTGCTACATAACTTACTTTTTTTTTAGACTAGGAAATATTTTTTGTGGTCAGCTTCTGTATTGGAACTGCCTCTGCCAGGTGTGGGGAGCAGGCTGCATAATATTCCTTGTTCTATGACTGGTCACAGAGATTCTACAGGAAACGGGAATTTTGCCCTGTGGGAAGAAAATAATATTTTTGATTAAATTTTTTTTTTTTCTTACACATCAGGAGAATTTGTGAAGTTATTAATGAAGCAGTGTGGAAACACAATGTAATCTATGTTTCAAGTGCAGGAAATAATGGCCCTTGCCTTTCTACAGTAGGATGTCCTGGTGGAACTACATCTAGTGTAATAGGTAAATCATTTTCTTTGGGGGTGGGGGGGGAAGTGTTGGCAGTATTCAGCTTCTGTCTTAATTGTAACCATCTGAGAACACCACTCGGACCTTTACCTGTTGGTAAATCTGACTTGTAAAAATACAAGCAAGTTCGATTCTAATTAATGTTCTGGAAGGCCTTGTAATGCATTTTGAATTGTCAGAACCACAATTTTAGATCTTTTGTCTTCATCAGGTACTCTAATTTCTATTTGTAGTGAAACAAAGCATTTAACTTGGATGTAAAATGATCCCATGTGGTGACCTAGACAAGCCCTTCTAGAGGAAGAATTCATTCAGCTGTAGTGCCACTTCTGTGCAGGTCTATTACTGCCATAAGAATTTATTTTTCTGAATGTCTAGGTGTATGGGTTTTGATATTTCAGTGAAAGATTGAGATATAAAACTTAGCAAAATGTCTAGCATTTAGGGGTAACTTCCCTAGTCTTTATTTTTATATAAATCTGATGCTGCATTACTAAGTTACATAAGCTGATTGTTAAATCTCAGAATTCTCATGCAAGAAGACTAGCATGTAGATTTGAAAGTTGGAGAGTTGGTATTTCAGGATAGCTAGTAGAACACTGATTACTTTCTGAAGTTAATCTGCAGTTAATTCACTAATGAAACAGGGGCTGGAACTGGAACTTACAAGCTCTTTCCAGGTTTGCATTGTCTTTGCTCTTACAGCACATCTACTTTGTCAGTTCAGTGTACTTGTATCACCCCAGGGACTGATTGATCATTCACTCTGCATGCTCTTTTTCTACCATCTGGCGTGAACCAGATAGGTTGGGGATTTTTTGTTTGTCTTTTGAGGGTAAAGCAAAATCTAGTTGACAGGTTGGCATAGTTCACACAGGCAGCATGGATGCAGATCTTGCCAAATTTGTTTGTTAGCTTGGTATGATAATTTTCTACTATCCTCATAGTGCTTGTGCCATAGAGAAAATGGAGTGTACACTGTAGGTATGGGGCACAGGTGCAATGACATCATATTTTAAAAATACAACTTTAGCAGACTTTGACAGTCATTTACATGCTCTGGGCACTTTGATACATAGGAAAGTAAGTGATGAGTGTCTCATCGCTGTGTTTGAGCTCTGTGGATGTGGCCATCTGCTCTAGGTGGCGTAGCTATGAGCCATGTGAACATGAACCAACTCGCACAGATTGCTTTGAGCTATGTTTGGTGTACTTTGTAACAGTGTAAACACAGCCAAAGGTGTGTGGGAGAGAGTAGAGACATGTAGAAGTAATTTGTTGTGAAAGAAATTTAGAAGGTGAATACATTCTCTTCCAATTGAATAAAAATGAAACTTTGAAATTTACATAATATTTCAATGTTATAGAACATTTTTAGTCCATAGCATGCTGCTTTATACTTGCTTTGTAAAAATATCTGGATATAATGATACAGAAAATGCATGTTTCCATTATTACATGTCAAGGAAAAAATTCTTACAATGAATTTAAACCACAGAAATATTTTTTTTTCCTGTTAATAAAAGTTCATTGCACATTTAAAATACTTAAATGGCTTTTGCAGGTGTTGGTGCCTATGTTTCACCTGACATGATGGTTGCTGAATACTCTTTAAGAGAAAAACTGCCAGCAAATCAATATACTTGGTCATCCAGAGGGCCTAGGTATGTTGTACTGAAAGAACAAATTCATTGCTTTGGAGTTCAGATTATGTAATTCAAAATCCCAAAAGTGGTCATTAATACCACCATAAGGGTATTTCTTTCCCATGGGAAGAGCATAGGTAATCTGCTGTTCTTGGAAGGCCTTTGTACATCGGGCCCCAGAACTCCTGGGAAAGGGGGAAAGACCACTGCACTGCCTCAGCACAGGATAAAGTGTGTCAGGAAAGTGTATTTGAGCACAGACATACTCGGAGATCATAAAAGTTGTTTGGAAATCCAATCGTTTTTCTGAATTTTTTTTTTTCAGAGGATTTTTTACATAGCATTTATTTCATTAAATTAGTGTGGTGAAGTTAACTGTTTGCTTAGTGTTGGAGATTAAAAGAAATACTGTTATTGCAGTGGCGTTATTTCTGGCTTCAGTGACATTGCTGTGATGGCACAACTTAAGGATTTTGCTTCAGTCCAGTAGAGGAGTGAGCAGGCAGAAAAAAATGCTTTTATGCTTCACATCAGAGAACATTTTCTCGAAGACCTGTGAAAGAAAATTATGGGGCAGTGAAAACTTCAGCTTTTATTTCATGTCTCAGAAGCATTTGGTAGTAATGTGGTAGCCAATAAAGGCAAAAATATTTGTTCTCGCATGTGGCAAAATTACAATACACTATATTTGTAGTCAGCCCACAGTAGTAGTGGGTGAAAGAAAAAAATAAACATAACTTGAGGTTGGTCTTTGGTTTATTTGCTGGTTACATAGCAATCTTCAAAGTTAGCTGTCATGTTGTTTGTATATTTACAGGCAAATATATTGTTTTGAGAACCTTATTATGTGGAATTGTCATGTTTCATGTAGGGAAAAGAGAAATGTGGTCTCTGCCTCCAGCTGAAAAAAGGAAAAAAGATTTGTAATTAGTATTAGTATACGTACATACACAAAAACTACATTTTGTGTGCTTTGTCACCTTGCGTTGTAGAATAGTCAGAATGAGCATGTCAGCTAAAAGGCCCAAGTCTGGCTAAAGAAGGATTCCCCTTGTGCAGGGTATAACACACAGAGTTCCTAAACCTTTTCTAGAGCAGGCTTGGGCTAAGGGATGAGTCTGTCTGAGTAAGCAGGAAAGGCTTTCAGGCAGATGCACTGTGCACTGCTTTACCAGAAGTGTCGTGATACAGAGCCTGTCATTTATATAGGGCTGTCATAAAATATGTCCAAAGGTCACATTACAGTATCATCCTGAGGGTACTCTGATTTGAGGCAGATTTTAGATGGATGAAAGTGTTAGTGTGGGACGTAAATACCCCAAAATACCGTGCCTCTCCAAAGAACTTAATAGCTCGGGCACAGTGCTGTTCTTATTCAAGTGGTGCAGTTTTTGTCTATCCAGAGTGAAGAAAATTGAGTATATCTGGCTCAGGCTATTGAAAGCTGCTTTTAACTGTGTCATAGGTACTCACTCTGTTCTTAAATATGTTTGAGCAAGATGTCTTAGGCCCAGCTGATCCTGATCCACCTGACATTCCTTTTTATTTTTGTCTTCTTCCCTTGCTATCCTTGTCTCAGGCCCTGTATTCAGAATTTGATCTGGTAGTTGAAGTGGCAACATGCAGAATTAGAGATCTGCATTTTTTTTTTTTATCTTTTCTAGTCATCTTCTCCCTTTTACTATTTTTCTGTAAAGACAGTAACTGTTAAATAGGCTATATTAAATACCGATTTATTTATTGAAGTGCTTGATAGGTCTGTGTGCATTTTCCAATTCAAATCCCAGAAGTTACTCTGCTGACTAACTGAAGCATGGTGAGAAGAGTATTGAAGGAGTGTAAATTTAGAAAACTTTCACTGTAAAACAGGCATAGCTGATGATTAATGTGACATTTTTAGATTGCTACTTAATGGCATGCTTTTTCTTGGGTTTAATGGGTTAATGGATTTAGTGAAGTAATGTGCTTCTGGACATTCCCTAAAGTTAAAATATTAAGTACACAAAAAAACTTTATATAAAGTGTGCAGAAAAGAAGTTTGTTTTTCAACGCTTCTGTTTTACCACTAGCACTGATGGAGCCCTGGGAGTAAGCATCAGTGCCCCAGGAGGTGCTATTGCTTCTGTTCCAAACTGGACTTTGCGAGGAACACAACTCATGAATGGTACATCCATGTCTTCTCCCAATGCATGTGGAGGCATTGCATTAGTATTGTCAGGTAATATGTTAAAATGTTAAATATAGATGCATAGTCTAAAAGAGATTAGAGTCTTCTTTTCTCTTATTAAAAAAAAAAAACCCAACCCTGTAACTTTCTAATTTTTTGTTGTATCCAATAATACCCTTATTTTTAATTTCAGGACTCAAAGCTAATGATATTCATTACACTGTTCATTCTGTCAGAAGAGCTTTAGAAAATACTGCAGTGAAAGCTGAAAACATAGAAGTATTTGCACAAGGACATGGTATTATTCAGGTACTTAATAGCAAAAAACCCAACATAATATAAATAACTGCCAGTGGAAACCTGACTCTCAAAAAAAAAATAAAAAATAGAAGCAGCTTTCTAGATGAGCACGCTGCTTGATTTTCAGATCTGATGGAGGGAGAAGAAGGGAATGCAGTGGGAAGGGAGGAGAATGAGCTTGTTCTCTCAGTTTCAGCATGAAGTTGCTGTAGAATAAATGTGTTAACTAGACACATTCTTAGACTGATCAAAAAGGTACGTGGGCATAAAAGTGGGGTGTGGGTTTTTATCGCCTACATGTGGATTTGGATGCCTAAATTCTGTCCTGATGTCTAAAAATGTTCTTATGCTATTGTCAGAGAGAGATGAGCACATTCAGTGCAGACAAAAGCTGCAACTGTAAGTTCTACGCAGTGAAAATAAAGATACCCACACTGGTTCACCAAGCAGTACAACTGCAGTTGTTCGATGACTTTGTGCCAGAACTGCTCTGAGAGCTCTGGGTGTTTGCTGTATCTTGTGGACAAGTAGCTTGGAAATTTATGATGTGATACTTTGTATGATGATAGTCATTCCCTGTCTCCTGCATAGTGAAAGACAGTATACCTGTGCATAAGCTTAGGTTCTTAAAGAGCTGTTGGTCAAATAGAGGTACTGAGATTTTTCGCTCATGCTTAGAGATGCTATATATTAAATGCTTAGCCCTAAACTCACGTTCTGAAGATGCTACAACCTAGTAGGTAACAGCTGCTAAACACATCTGTAACACCGAGTTTGATACAGGAGGCCACAGAAAAATTAAATGCAGTAGTCATATCTTACAATTTAGTAGTCTGTGATTAAAGCATGTGTTAAAACATGGTTAAAACTGATCTGGGAAACTGAGGCTGTATACTTGTCTCAAAGGAGAGTGCCCTTATCCCCACTGGACAGGGTAGCTCACTGAAGTGGAAGAGAATGTAAGCTTTTGGACACAGTAGAATAGAAAGTGAGATAGAAAGGTGTCTTTCTAAAACAAAAAGGTGGGCTTGTCATCTGAGTTTATTCTGACAGCTCAGTTACTGAAATCTGGGGTTGGATTTCCTGACATGATTATATCAATATATAAAGATTACATGGGCATCCTATATTGCTTCTCTCTTTTGAACTGCTCAACTTCTTGTATAGAAGGTTTAAATGCTTAAGTGTTGTTCCACATATGAGAAAAGCACCTAAATTAGTATAGTAGGTCTGGGCCTTTGAAGTCCTCTTTGTCTTTGAAGTCATCTCTGAAAACTTTGTTACGCATCTTTTGATCTATTCATAGCAAAGGGGATTCGTTTTGTGTTGTGTTTTGTTTTTTAAATATTCTTGCCTTTTTGCTCTGTGCGGCTGTTGCAGACTGAAAATGTTCCCTCATTTTCTATACTAAGTATCATGGAAGGTGCAATCAGTGTCACTCAGGTAGCATGTCAGTTACTTTACTGTTTGTTGCTTCGATTGCTGAAAATGTCATAAATTATGATTAAGTTGAAGTTTGTTAATTTAGAATGTGTTCTTTCTAACAGGTTGATAAAGCCTATGACTACCTCATTCAGAATTCATCATTCACAAGTAACATAGGCTTTACAGTTACTGTTGGCAGCCACCGTGGAATCTACCTCAGAGATCCTGCCCAGATAGCTGCACCTTCTGATCATGGTGTTGGCATAGAACCTGTCTTTCCTGAGAATACGGGTAGGAAAGAGCTTTTGCTTGTGGGGTGGGGAAGAAAGTACCCTGCTTTACTTTATTAAATACAAATTGGAACTCAGAAAATGACCTATGTGTAGCATGATGTTTAAACACAAAGCTGTGATAATGAGGAATGGTGGCAGTCTGTACCATAAAAGCAGTAAGCACAACTCTAGATTTCGTAGTATATGATGGCATGCAGCTAAACAAGTTTCCGTTCTAACCTCAGAGTTATAGCTGCAGCATCTCCATGTTTTGCTGCTTCATGCTGCTTCTCACTGAAAAGAGGGATCTCTCTTTGTTCTGAAGAACTTACTAACAGGGTAAAACTAAATTGTGCAAATGTAAGGTTTGACATGTTTTATCTGTAAACCATTTTGTCCTGCTTTATTAAATGCAAATTAAAGCTCACTGAGAGACTGAATTACATTGTATTGAGAAACTGATGCATGTGAGATCTTGTTACTGAGATTAATTCCTTTCTTAAAACCAGTGATGGCAACAAGGTTGGCATGTGACAAAGGGGCGAGTTTATTTGGGGGAAGAAAGGGTATGAATCAGGACAGGTTACTGGCTCAGAGTAACCTAGGTTACATTGCAATTGGTGTTCTTAATTTTACTTTATGACATGGAGAAATAGAGTAATTGTTCAGTATGTCTTTCTGTTGGAAGCAAACAATCTGAAAACATGGGTGACTGTCTTGTAGCATGGTGTTTCCCTAGTACTTGTCCAATTGTTACTTCTGTCTGGTGTTTTCAACAAGACTGTTAGGGAAACTGTAGTAAGAGGTTAAGGGAGGCTTATCTGCTCAGTCTGTCAAAGCTCTCTGAGCTTTTATTGCTTCTCATTTACCATTGAGGGAATTAGATCTCATAATTGAGTGCTCTTTACTTAACAAAGATGTAATGAAATGTCTTAAAATTAATCTAAGGTTAATTAGGACTAGAAAATGGGGGGGGGGGATCATTAACCTTAAAGTGTCATTAACGTTTAGATCAGGAGAAAGCTGTTTTTTAATCACTGAAATATTACAGATCGGCTTGGATATCTTTCTGGAAGCTGTGCTTTAACCCATAACTTTTTTGACATGAAAGCTCATTTGCAAAATCAGCTAAATTGACATTTTGCAGAGTCAGACTGGATTATCATAGTAATTTTAAACAGACTTCACTTCTTGCTTAGGTTGCTCTACAATGTAATTTGCTAATTAGCATAACCTTTTGAGTCAGTTCAGTTGCTTTTTATTGTATGTCTCTGCATTAGGTGAGACTTTTTGTCTGTGCATAAGTTTATACCTGCTTCCAGACTATGTTGGGGGTAACTGAAGCATTGCTTACTAGCCTACCTTTGCCTTTTGTCAGGTTTTACTGTTTCAGGGTGGGGGGAGGTGCACAGTGGGATTTCAAAGTTGGTACATCCTTTATTTTACTGTACACTGCTGCTATCCTTTTTTTCTCAAGAGAAATAATAGAGAACAATTCAATGGCAACTACTATGTTATAGTAGAAAATGAGCATGCATTTGTGTTATTAAACTGTCTTCTGAATTTTGTGTCTCCACAGAAAACACTGAAAGAATATCTCTTCAGCTTCATTTAGCTTTAACTTCAAATGCATCATGGGTCCAGTGTCCTAGTCATTTAGAGCTTATGAACCAGTGTCGACACATAAATATTCGCGTGGATCCACGTGGCCTGAGAGAAGGACTGCATTATACAGAGGTATTGAAGTATTGGTGTTCTAAGCAAGATTATGTGCCCTTTCCTTTTCATGTGGTCTCTATCAACTTTTCATAGAAGTAATTTTTAAGGAAATAGAAGCTGTGTGCTGTACAGACTAGAAAATAATGCCACACTGTATTCCACTATATAGGCTCAATCCAGGGCTCAGCAATAGTTATGCTATAGAGTGTTGTGTGTCGCACATGCCAATGAGACTTTGAGAATCTGCCTTTAAAAAAATAAAGGCATATAGAAAATATAAGCCAAATAAATATTTATTTAAGATCTTTTTCCACTGGGTATATTTTCACCTTTGACTATCTGGCTCAGTCCTGTATTATTATTGAAGATAGAGACTAGTGGGTTTACGTATTTGAGATCTTAAATATTTCTCTCTTTCTGTGGTGGCTTAAGGACTGGCCAGGCTTTTGTGGTGTTGCCATGCAGTCTTATATGGACCCAAGATTTTGCTTTACCTAAAGGAGTTGCTTGGATACAGTGATGCAACATATTTTCTTGTTTCCTTATCTCTACCCCATCCCATTTTGGAAGGTGAAGGAGAGAAATGTGTGGTAATGGTTGCATACAGCAAAAGCATTTCACTGACTTCAAGCATCTACATTCAAATTTAGAAAAATTTAATACAAAAGCCATTAAATTTCTCATTTTTGCTCCCAAATATTGTATTTCACTCCTGCGAAAGAAACCCACCAACAAAAACTGTTTTTCAACCCCTTCCATTCTCATCCCAAACCTTATATTAACATTGAAATGTTTCCATTGCTTTGTAGTTCTTCATAATGAAGATATCATCAGATTGCTTTTTAAATGTGACTTGTTTAAGATGCTTAAAATTTGCAAGTCTCTTAGGGTATCACTGTGAACATTTTAGCCAAATGACAATGGAACAGATTTTCAGAGATAGTATTTAAAGCTTGGCCGTGAAAGGCATGGTAAATCAAAGTGTATTTGCTCAAACATAATCCTGGAAGACAGGCATTAAAATATTTTTAATGCGACAACAAAATAGCTGAAATAAAATAAGGGTGTTTGGGACAAACTCCAATTTGAAACTAGGTTGAACTTTTGATATAGGGACTATCAAATGTGGGTTGAAAGCTTGAAAACTTCTGGGGAAAGACTGAAATGATTTTAAGTATAAAAACTAATTTATTTTGTTTTCTTAAGTGATGCTGTTTTACTGTTTCTAGGGTGACAGTGGTCAAATGAGGATCTTTCTTTCTCGGTGATAACAACAAAGTTTCAAAATACTCTGCAACTAGTTCTGAGTTTAATGTTATCTTCGATAATTTAATTTCAACCAAAGATTTTAAGTCACTGTATTTTATTTTGTTAGGTGTGTGGATATGATATAGCAATGCCTAATGCAGGCCCTCTCTTCAGAGTTCCAATAACTGTTGTTATACCAACACGGTAAGTAAACACAGGCTTTATCTGCATTTTTAAAGTTTTGTTTAGTTTTCTGTGCCCGCTTGACTTACCATTTATTTTCCCACCTTCTTTCTCTAGGAGTTCTTGAACTTAGTACTAACGTTGATAAGGTAGCAGAGTTCTAAAAAGATTCTCTGGGCAGGCTTATGCAGCAGTGGCTTTTTTGCAGTTGTGGTCCTGGCAGCCAGGAGGCAGGGCTTAGCCACAGTGGCAGCAGCTTCCTGGTCCATCAGAATACGTATGACTTCTGGCCTGTTGACCAAAGTATCAAGATACTCATATGTGTAGGTCAACTGGAATTTGGTGTTCTGGGGTTGTTTTTTTTCTTTGGTTGGGGTGGTTTTGGTTGGTTGGTGGTGTTGGCTTAATTTTTTTTATTTTTTTTTTTTTTCATTTCTGACTGGTGGACTAGAGTACATAAAGGCAGGGGCATTATTTGGCATATGAACATTGGGATAAACTTCCATGATGACTTTAATGCAGCAAATTTAAAGAGTTAGTATGATGCTTATCATTGTTTTGAACATATGAATTCAGTGATGTCAATAAGGAGAATATTTTATTAAATCTCTTCAGTGGACAATCTCTCCTGAGAAAATACCCTCAAATTTTTCTATAATTCACTCATAGAAATACACCTTGTTATATACCTTATCTCACTTAAGTGGAAAGTCAGTCAGCCAGGAAGAGCAGCTCCACTGAAAACTATGATCCTTTGATACTTACGTTTAAGCACAGAAACTTGAAGGGAGGAAGGGGGGGGTGTCCACATAATGTGATGGAGCTGATTTTTTAAATCCTTTAGCGACATTGTGCTGTCAGATTCTGTACCAGTACAGACTAAAATAATTGGTGCTGAGGGCCAAATCTCCTCATTGTACATGGTTTTTTTAGAGTATTTTTGCATTTAAAAATGCTTTTTAAAAAACATGTTTTTTGGTTACTGTTTGTTTTCTTTTTGACATACAGAGTAGATGAATCATCAAGCTATGACCTGACATATACAGATGTTCATTTTAAACCTGGTCAAATCCGAAGGCACTTCATTGATGTTCCACAGGGAGCTACGTGGGCTGGTAAGAAAAATAACCACATTAATTAAATAAAAAAGAAAATGCATCTGTCAGACTTGACAGAGTTGTCTGGAAATCATTTTGAGTTCTACCTGAATAAGAACTGAAGGATTTGATCCGTGAATATGTAAAATATTTATTTGTTTTTAAGCTCTTAGAGGAGTGATTTTGAGTTATTTCATGGTTTCGGTACAGTAGAGTCCTGATTCTCAGTCTTGTAGAAAATGGCAAATACAATTTGAAATGATGGAGGAATACCCTATGTTTATGGAGAAGTATCATTGTCTGAGATTTGCCTAGTTCTTAAGGTTTATGGTTGTAGTGTTGAAAGATTTCTTAAATGTGGTTTTTGTGATGGACAAGTAGCTCAATTCAGCCAGAAGTGAAAAAGGGTTTATTGTCTTCCTGTGTGAGATTACTAAATAATAATCTTTTCAAGAATCTTTCATTTAGCTTGAGGTTAATGATAAGACTATTTGGAACTCAGCAGCAGTCTGTCCTGTACAGATTATATTTCTGTACTGTCTGATTAATTTTCACTGGTTATTTCAGTCATGGTTCACTTAAACTGATCTCTGAATTTAGCTAGTTTTCCTTAATCTGAAAGAGTCTTTGCAAATAACTGATATATAAGCATTATTCACATATGGAGCCACTGTGGATACTGTATAACTAGTGTTTTTCTGGTGAATCTCTGCTTTCCTTCTAAGATTCTTGGCTCTTTAAACTCAGTTTTTTTCTTTAATCTAGAAGTGACAGTATGCTCATGTTCAGCTGATGTGACTGCCAAGTTTGTGCTTCATGCTGTTCAGCTAGTGAAACAAAAAGCATATAGAAGTCATGAGTTTTACAAATTTTCATCCTTACCAGAAAAAGGATCAGTGACTGAAGCTTTTCCTGTCTTAGTAAGTACCTTAGGGCGGCATGGGGGAAGAAAGAAAAGTAATATTTCAGTGCAGTATAACATGACTCATTCTGTTATGTTTTTTTTTTATTTTTTTCCCCAAGAAAAAAAAAACCAAACCCAGGAAATCATACATCTGTTCCAGTAGTGAATGCATCTGGTTTTCAGTTTTGAAAATATCCCTAATAGCTTGCTAGTGTTTCAAATATTTGAGAATGCCCTTATAATGTGTTGCTCTCTTCATGTTGTTAGTACTTGTTTATACAGACCAGTTTGTTTCCCTTCCAAATAGGGGCTATGACTTGTTGGATAGCTGTGTTGCAGATTATGTTAAGTTTTACTGTTTTTTTTTCTGTATTTTATTTGTTTGTGAAAGTTATCTATAGGGATATCTTGATTTAAGAAGTTAGCCTTTATGTTAGCATGGGTTGCTGTGCTACTTGAAAACTGATGCTGTAGCTTGAAGTCCCTGTTCTCTATGACATGTTAGCCTTAGTCCTTACTCTCTACACCATAACCAAATCACCTAGGGTCCACTGTATATAGGATGTGTTATCTGACAGCCTGGCAAGGTAGAAATCTAGCCAGCCAACCTGGCAACAAAACTTACTTTTAAGGTGTCCTGAAGTAAACTGCCTTCATTATAATGCTAAAAAACAGACCTGTGGATCTAGATGACCCTTGTCCAGGTGAAGACACTTCCCTCGTGCAAGCGTAGTAACGGAAAAGAATGAAACAGCAGATATTATGTGCAAATCACTAACCAATCACTGTAACTGGGAGTGTACTATCGTGTAATTTTTGTGTATAAATGTAGCAATGAAATTGGCATAGGGTGTGCTTGATATGTGGAAATTCCACCTAGCACCCAGTGCTGCAATAAAGAAGTGCCTGCTTCTTAATGCTGTATTGGTATTAAGAAGTTTTATTCTCCTCCAACTTTCAGTGACAGCTGTAATTCAGCATATCTAGCCATTACTGCTGCATGCGGTAATCTGGGATATCTTGGTGTTGAAGCCAGGCGATAACTGACTGGTTTGCATTCATACTGCTTAGATACAGCAGGCTTAGCTCAATGCTAGCTCAAGAGTCCAAAACAGAACCAGGGACTGAGCTAACAGTTCAGGGGTGTGAATGACAGAATCTACTTCTTGAGTTTGTTCCCTACCTTACTTAAGTTACATAGCTCTAAAGTCTAAGAGTGCTATTTATTCCCTTACCCTCTGAAAATGTCAGGTGGGGGACCTAAGCTAAGTTTGTCCCACTGACACTTTGTGAATTCTATGGTGTTGGCTAAAAAAACAAAACCAAACAATTGCAACAAAAAAAACCAACCACCAAACGGCAACAAAAAAACCCTCCCAATCTTCATGTCATCTTGCTGAGGCAGAGAGTATGCTCATACACATTTTTACACATTTTTTTCTGATACACAGGTTAAACTCATCTGTGAACTAACCTGACTGCCTAGTTTGAAGAGTAGGAAAGGAAAATGTAGTATTTAAAGGTTCTGTAGAATATACCCAAATACTCTGCTTTGATGCGGACATCAGGCATCATATTTTGTTGGAGCTATCTTATGTTTTCTGACGTGTCTTATTTGGTACTGTACAAACATATACAATTGGCGTAAACTGGACATAACAGCATGGTTTTTGAGCTAGACTCCAAATATTTTGCCTTGGAATGAGGGAGTCTGTGGTGAATAGAAGTGAAAGATGGAAGCTTGCGTCTAACTGTGTGCTTTTGTTACCCAGGCTGGAAAAACCATTGAATTTTGTGTTGCTCGGTGGTGGGCAAGCCTTAGTGATGTTAGCATTAATTACACAATTTCTTTCCATGGTGTACTTTGTGCTACTCCTCAGCTAAACATGGTAAGTTTTCCAGAGTTATTTGGAATATGCAATATTTGCCTTTTCTGAATTTGAATATTCTGAAGTCCTAGGGTATCTCAGAATGAAAGAAGTTTTGCTTCATTCTTGTCTGTAGCTAGAAAGACTTAAAGTATCTTTATACATGAGATTTTCATGTTTTTTCTTAAAGGTGGGTTAATAGCAGTTTGATCCCACAGAATGGAAGGGCTGTATTGTGATTCCTGTGGCTCTATGATACTAAAGGATTAAAAAAGTTGCGAAAAACTTTAGTATTATAATGTTTACGGTACTTTTGTCTTTATCCTGTATTCTTTACTGTCCTGTGCAACCTGACTTGGCTTGACTTTGCCTTAAAGAGGGCTCTCTTTGAGAGCTGAAATGGTAATACCTCTGTAAAGCAGCACCATGCTAATTTATACTGGCTCCTCCCTCTTTTTTGTTGTTTTGTGTTTTTTTTTTTCAGCTATGGAATGGAGCAAATTATAGCTGTCCCACAGGTGAATTTGGATGTATTCAGGCTCTAAGAGCTAAATAAACTGGGGGGGGGAAGTGGGCGCATTGTGTTAAGGTACTAGGTCTTGAACCTGTAGAGCAGCAAAATTGAGCTTGTGGTGGTACTGTGCACTGCAGCTTCCCCCACCCCAGCAGGATTACAGCAACTGAATAATGGACAGTTGAAAATGAGAGAATACAATGGTTTTGCCATTTCTTCTTGATCACCTATAACTTTCATAGAATAAATTTTAGTAGTGTGATATATAGGTCAGTTTGTCATAGGACACTGGTAGAAAAAAGTTCTCAAATTATTTGGCCCATCACTAGCCTGTGTATGGTAATACTGTTTCTTTTTCACAAAACTAAACTATTCTGTAATAATAACCCTGAGCAGAAGCACCGTAAAATATAAGATTCTAGATGAATAATACTTATTAAATATTCAAAGGAAATAGTCACAAATGTACAAACAAAACTTAGCCCTGCCCAAAGTGTGATGGTTCTGTACAAATACAGTCTAAGTATAAATTATTAACATGGGGAAAAAAAATATACAGAAGACTTCCACTCCAGTTGCTAAAGTTTTGCAAGTCCCAGTATATCTACTACTGTAAAATATAGGTAAGCTTGTGACACTTTCAAACTTGTGCACTATTGTATCCAATAATATAGTTAAATACAGCTTTCATTGTATTTTTGATGGTACACATCTGATGTTATAAGTTCACAGAAACATAATTGTTATATACTCTTTCTTTAGCATGCTTCAGAAGGCATCGTACGATTTGATGTTCAGTCTCTGTTGAAGTATGAAGATATTGCTCCATGCATAAATCTGAAAAGCTGGGTTCAAACACTCAGGTAGAATTTCTGGGGAACTGTATTGGAAAAGTGGGAAAACTCTTTGTATGTATTTGAAACAGTAACAACTGAGCGGTGAAATTTAGGATAGCAAGTGTTCTTGTCAAATTTTAAGTAAGTTTGGAAGCATCAATTAATAAAATCCCTCAGCATTCTCTTCTTCGGTTCCTTTAACTTTGATAAAATTTGAGCATTATGGTGACTTTTTTACATGCAAATTTTTTTCCTTTAGCTAATTAAAAAGGGGGAAGGGGGCAAAAATATTCTCTTACTTCTGAAGGAGCCGCTTAAATGTAAACTGCACTTTGATATCTATATTGTAGGGTTATTTGGTGCTACTATTTGTTGTTTTGTGGGGCTTTTTAAGCAGCTGCTTCAGATCCTGCCCAATTTTGACCTGGGAAGACTGTTGTCTTTCTCTTGCTTGACTGGAAGTGGCTTTGTAGGATCTGGTGCAGGATTTCTTGGGGAAAGTTGTGTTTATCTTGTCAGTTTGACACATGCTGATTTGGAGGAAAAGCTTTGGAAAATTCCTAACCAGTGCAGCGATTACTGGTCACTTCAGGTGGAAGAAGAAATGCTGTACAGTTTAACCAGTACTTTTAAGACTTGAGCCAGACTGATTACTTAGTAGTCAATAATGCAAACTTTTCCATAATTTGGGCCTCTCTGTGGAGACCTTGGGCTCTCTGGGGCTTTTGGATGCTTGTAAGTGGAAGTGAAGTAGCTAGGAGCTAGCCACTTAATACTGGATTCAGAAACTGACCATTTGATATGCCTTAAGTGAGGGGATAAAACAGTCCCTAATATATCTTTGCCTCATTCTTGGTTTGTAAAATGGAAATGCTCTTGCCTCCATGTAATAATTGAGCCACTCATCTGACAGTAAACAAACTACAGTTAAATAAACTAATGATAAATATTTAAGGGTGTAAATTAAGGCATGAGTAGTGTCTCGTGTTATGACTCATTAGTTCATTCAAAAGGGGTTGGAAAGTACTGAATGGCTCCTCATTCCGTCTCTTGAGTTTCAAATGCTTGAAGACAGGGTGAATATCAGGGAGACGTGTCATGTGTGGTCATGTTGGTTCTTAAGTCTTCTGTCAACAGTCTATCTGGTGACTGCCAGACTAGGAAACCTGGGTTACAGTGACTCTGTGGTATGATCAAGCAGAGGTATCTTAGTCTGTGACTAGTCTGTGCTCTTAGCAATAAAATAGCTGACTGAATCTTATAGAAGATACCATTAAAGGTTGTCTGAATGAAATGTTAAGTTAAATGATGCCAGGGCACGCTCATTCCACTCCTCTATTTCTGAAGCCCTGATTTTCCTATTTTATTATTATTTAGCCAAAATTCTTTGCTTAAGATCTAAAGTGTTTGTGAGCTCTGAACAATATTTTGTGCTGCGTCTGAGTTAGCATATACTGTATAGGTACTGTGTGTTCACATTCTCCTGTGTTACTACTCTTGATTCCTATAAGGCCTTTTACAAAATTACAGATTCCCTTCTGACATAACCTTCTATAACAAACAATTATCAACTGTGTATTCTGTCTTCTAATTACTATGCCATTAATTTTTCATTCTATAAATAAACAAGTCTGAAGTCTGGGTTTTTTTTGAGGGTTTTTTTGGTTGTTGGGTTTTTTGTTTTTTTTTAATTATTTTTCGGATCAGATTTGCTTGCTTTTAGTTCTGTTGGCTTCTTTCTGTGGCAGTGTCTGTAATGTTACTAAACCTTATTTTTGTATGGGTAGTCATTTTAACTGATGAATTTACACTGCCTTGACAGTTATAATTTTTTAAGAGATGTTATTGTATGGGCTGAATTCAGCTTTACTTCAGAATATGCTTCTGCTTAAGTAAGACAGATTTTGATAGAGGATACGTGTTTAAGAATACCATCTGTACTTTGTTGTTTATCTGCAGACCAGTGAGTGCAAAAATAAAACCTTTGGGCTCCCGAGATATTTTGCCAAATAATCGACAACTGTATGAGATGATTTTGACCTATAACTTCCATCAGGTAAGGGTTCGTCGTTGTTTAAGCCCAGCCGGTAACTCAGAACTATACAGCCACTCACTCATTCCCTCCCCCCCGACCTCCTGGAGAGATGGGGAGGAGAATCGAAAGAATGTAACTCCCACAGGTTGAGATAAGAGCAGCCCAGTAACTAAGGTATAACACAAACCACTACTGCTACAACCAATAATAATAATGATAAGGGAAATAACAAGGGAAGAGAATACAACCACTCACCAACCACCACTGGTACCCAGCCTGGCCCAAGCAGTGATCTAGCCCTTCTGGGTAACTGCCCCCAGTTTGTATACTGGGCATCATGTGCTGTGGTATGGAATACTCCTTTGGTTAGTTTGGGTCAGGTGTCCTGTCTCTGCTTCCTCCCAGCTTCCCCTCCTCCCTGGCAGAGCATGAGACTCAGAAAGTCCTTGGTCAGAGTAAACATGACTTAGCAACAACTGAAAACATCGGTGTTACCAACGTTGTTCCCAGGCTGAAAGTCAAAAACACAGCACTGCACCAGCTGCTAAGAAGGAGAAAAATGACTGCTACTGCTGAACCCAGGACAGGGTTATAGATGATTGTGGTTTTTTTTTAAAGTCATTAATAAATATAGCATATTTTCTAAAGCCAGTTGTTGACTTTAGCTAATTTTCTGGCAGAAACAAGGTATAGGTTTATCCTGTGGACTCTCTACAGTGGAAATTCTGATGTGGTTCCTTTTAGGAGCTGCTGTTGCTTGAAGTGTGCTTTAGTTCAGGTATCCTTTTGAATATGTGTGTAAGGATTGTACTTATTTTATTCAGTCGTGAATTGAATGTTTTAATCTTTCTTTTAATAGCCTAAGAGTGGAGAAGTAACTCCAAGCTGTCCACTTCTTTGTGAATTGTTGTATGAATCTGAATTTGATAGTCAACTGTGGATTATTTTTGACCAGAACAAAAGACAAATGGGTTCAGGAGATGCCTATCCACACCAGGTATAGAAAAATGTATTTATTTTGCCTTCTGTTTTCTGCACGTTGTGAAAAATCTTCATTCTTTTTCACCTTCCAGGCCTGCTGTTAGCTCCTAACATTTCTTGGGGCATAGATAAAGTGTTCTTATATCTTCACAAGAAGACAGGTTCAGTGGTGATGTATTTGGAAAAAGAAGTAATGACAGGTTTCTTTCCATTGAATAGAACATTATGATAATTTTTTTCCTCTTCCAAGGAAGGAGAAAGAGTGATAGTGTGCTTTATTTTACAAAAAGCTGTTAATTCATGAGATCTTGTGATTTTTGACTGCTGCTTCTCAAAGAGTGAATTCAAGTTCTTGTTTTCTTTAATATCTTCGTATAAAAATCAACATATCTTGAACTTTTCTATTTAAGGTGGAAAGGATTCATTATTTTTTCTGTAGTCTGACTTGTCTGTTGATAGATCAGAGGTTTCTGTAACTATGAAGGCTGTGTTCTGTGCTGTTGATGTCTTCAAACAGCCTTTTATAAGCTATAGCTTGGTTTATTCCCATTGCTGCCTTTCAAATGGAGTTTTTTGCACAAGGCTTGTAGATACGGTACCCTCAGCGGCAGTCTTTCTGCTAGAACAGACTATGTTTCTGGATCATTCAGGGAGGAGAATAAAAAAAGAAGACAAAAAAGGGAGAAACATTTTCTATAGGTTTTTTTTTTTTATTTGAAACTATTTTTTACCAATCCAAAATCACTGTTGAACTTCATCGATGTAATGTTTATTTTGGTAGATTCATCATTCTAGAAGTGTACAGGTGATCAGCTTTAAAGCATGTCTTTTGGATCTTGTAAATCAGTTTCAGAAATTGCATTACTTAAACTTCTGTTCCTTAACCTGCATTTTTTAAGCTGTTACAAAATTTAAAAATCACCAAAGTAATCTGTTACTTACACCTCATGGACCGTCACACTGTGTATCTCTGATGTTGTGCATCATGGAAAACTCTAAAGCAATTCAAAATTAACTATCCAGGAAGAAATGCCAGCTGAATCCCTAACCCAGGAGAGTGAGATTCTGGGAGCAGGGTAGTTTGATTTATTGTCCCTTTCTACTTAGTGCTGCCTTTTGTATTACAGCAGAAAGGAAGGTTAGCATGTTACTGCTCAAAACATCCACATGGTGCTCTTTCGGGTTGATAGAAGTGAAAGAATGTTTTCAAAACTAAGAATTTGAGAGTCTGGGTTGGGGGGGGGGGCAATATTTGTGGGTTTTGCTTTTGGTGGTGGTGTTTGTTTTATATAAATGGAGATGATGTTATCTGCATAACTGAATATATGAAAAGCTCAGGGCAAAGAGTCTGTCAGCTCTTCAGACTGCAGCCTTAAATCTCACAGCATTACTGGGTCCCTCAGTGTGAAAGCTAGTACAGTGTTTGGGATAGTAGAAGATATTCTGTGATCTAAACCACAGAGCACCCAAAGTTATGTAGTAAACTGAAAGTGTATCAAGGCAAATCTGCTAAAAGTATTGAACTGAAATAACAAGAATTCTGATTATTATTTGAGCAGTTAATAGTGTTATAATAGAACAAATTATGTCAGCTTGTTTTGTGGTCTGAAAACTTTCGAGGTTTTTTCAGCCAATCCAAAATGTGTTTTGGCTGCTGTCAAGTCTTGAAGACACTCTGTTTTCAGGAGACATCCAAAACTAAGCAGTCTAATGTATTTTAAATGACTACAGCTATATGGATCAAGAAGAACATATGACAGTCTTATTTCTGGATTTCTTTGTGAATGGTGAGGTATTTAATCTTGACATTTATGAGAACTTCTTTCTTTCAGTATTCTGTGAAACTGGAAAAAGGAGATTACACTATTCGGTTACAAATTCGTCACGAACAGAACAGTGAGCTGGATCGCATCAAAGACCTTCCATTTATTGTTTCTCACAGGTTGTCTAGTACCTTGAGCTTAGATATTTATGAAAACCATAGCCTTGCTCTCTTAGGGAAGAAGAAATCCAACAGTTTGACATTACCACCAAAACACAGTCAGCCATTCTTTGTTACATCTCTGCCTGATGACAAGTAAGTTACTGAAGTCCTGTTTTTTTCATCTACATCTAAACCAGCTGCCTCTGCACCTAACTAAAATGATACTTCGATTGTGTCTACCTGTTTAGGCTTGGTATTTCCTCTTGTGTTGCTCTTTCACTGTTCCAGTTCTTTATTGTACTTCTCATGGAACATTAATGAACCTGGTTTTAACACTGAAATTTTTCTTTGAATAGAATACCTAAAGGAGCAGGACCAGGATGTTATCTTGCAGGAGCCCTTACACTGTCTAAAACAGAACTTGGAAAGAAAGCTGTGAGTATTTGAAATGGATGGCATCTGCTTTTTCTGAAATTTGCAAAGCGAGTAAATTGCATGCCAGGAAGTGTTTATTTCATGGTTTTAGTGCAGTAGAGCACTAGGTTTATTAACATAACACATTTTGGAAGCAGTTGTTTCCTCATAAGGTCAGAGTCAATTCTAAGCGAGTCTACTTCTATTTTTGTCTTATAATTTCAAATTTAGTTGCATTTTCTAGATTTTGAATTCTAGTTCTTTCCCTCTGAATCCTTCCATTTGTAGAAACAACTGCTTTTTTTCTGGTGTGGAGCCTTTAAAAGTGATCTTGTGCAATTGCCTAGTTTAGTATAATTTTGTAATGAAAAAAACATGCATATGCAATCTTTTGCATGTTGGTTCTCTAGTAAACAGCTTTACTCTTCCTTGCATGCATACAATTTTCAGCAAATGAATGTGCTTTCTTAGCACCTACATGTTACTGTTAAAAAGTAGTAGGAATTTTGCCAACCTAAATGCATAAACAGATACTTGCTGCACACTGATGTTGTCAACCACTAATATGGCTGTATGTCCCATGAGAATGATGCAAGATCTCTGTATGCGATGCTTGAAAAAAGTTGTAGGGTTGTTTTGCTCATTAATGCAGCATCCTGTAGAAACTGCTTTCTAACTTGTATGAATCTATAGTGCAACAGTGATTATAATAACCAGATCCCTTTTGTGTGTATCTGGTGCTAAAGTATTTAGAAGATTTCTTTAGCTATTTTAAAATAGATTGCAAAGCTGAGAACAGATTTGGATCAGTCCTGGTGATTGTTAGTATTTAGAAATAGTCCATATATCACTGGATGTGGCTGAAAAACAGGTATAAAACTAGAGTATGTTTTCATAGAAAATAAGTTTCTGTGAGTAGATGGGCACATACCTTTAGATCTCTAGTAGAAAAGTTTAGTTCAGTCCAATTTGGTTGTATGCAGTACTTCTGGGGCAGGTTGCATGTAACTGTAGATTAGATGTCTCTCAGGACAGTTTATGTATCAATGAGGAAAAAACCAGTAACTAAGAACTCTAAAGTACTTCTTTGTGATTCATGCAAGGTTGCAAGTAAAATTCTATGAAATCCATGGTAAATTCATTATGGTAGTGTAGTCTATTTTCCCTAACTTGAATTCTGCACTTCTTTGAACTATTGGTTGCAATTCTCATTTGTCTTATTTTAAAACCAGACTAAGTGGTTATATACCATGATTTCTGGGATGGGAGAAGTAGGGGATACGTATTTCCTGTCATTTCATGTGACGAAAATACTGAAGAGCTTACACAGAGAGAAACTGTAGCTGAAGCATGTCATAGTCCAAGGCATTACTGTTAGGTCATATTTCACTGAAAAAAGGATGTTACCAAATAGTGTTAGGTACTTTATGCTGCCTTTAGTGAACCTCAGTCTGTACCAGGAAAAAAAAAAGGAGGGGTAGACAACAAAGTTGTCTCTAAGTCAATAAGTGGATGCAATGCGAGGGGAAAGTGTATCTACTTTCTGTATATTTACATGAAACAGAACAATGCCACTAAATAGTTTCCCCACTTTCGAGGCTGAATTTCTGTAATTCTGAAATTAAGCTAAGTGGTTAACAACACTTGCTTGTCTTACAGGAATAACGGACTGTATAAACAATGATGCATTGGTTTATTAATTTAAAAAACATGAAAGAGCATGCTTAAGAGCATGTTTGATCATAGATGTGACTCTCTAAAAGTTTAAAAATCTGTAGGTTGAAAGTATAACCATATTTGTACAGAGAAGGTGTCTCCATCCTGTGTGGTGTGTGCATGTTTTCTTACAGTATGTTATTCTAACTCCCAGGGGCAGTCCGCAGCAAAGCGACAAGGAAAATTTAAAAAGGTACTGAATGTTAGTTTTTGAAAAAGATATACTTAAGTCTTTTTTGCATATGACTTGCAGAATTTGTCTACCAGTATTGGTTTTTTAATTTGTCTCCCTCATCTTCTTCCTTAGTCCTGAGTTATTTACTTCAGCACCTTAAGTATGTCTACTGGTAGAATGACAAAACACTATTGTAACACAAAGCTGAAAGGCACGTGAGCATCTGAATTCTTCTGCAATAAGTGCTGTAAAAATGCATGTGGTAATTAGTGGTCTGTAATTTTTCTTTTTATAAAACACTTTGGAATCTTCAGTGTGTAGTGTCAAGATTTTCTGTGGCAAGTGTTTTTGCCTATTCTGTCTGCAAATTGAGAACTGAATACAAACTGAACACTTTGTGGAATTGAATATCTAACTGTATACCAACTCTAGTGAATTGAGAGCTGGCTTCATTACAGTCATAGAAACATGCTGTAGTAGTCAGGTTTTTCTTGGGAGGGATGGACTTGATTGAAAAGTCTCTCAATTACGATTCTGCTCAAACTGAATTTAACTCATTATAGGCTAGAGTTTATACAATGATGTAGCAGGTAGAATTTACAGAAAGAATTTTGTAAGCATGTATTAAGATACTTTGGATAAGGAGTTAGTGACTTTTAACATTGTAGTGTTTTATATTGTGCTTTTTTACTTTAGTATATTTTATAAAGACTGATAGAGTCTTTATAAAAAAAAACCAAACAACTGTTAGTACGCTACCATTATAAGGCTTCTGGGTATTCTTTTGTTTTGTTCTTAAGTTGTAAGGCTTTTTACAACTTCATGTTTTCAAGTTACCACGTTTTGGAGTGATGCATGAGTTGGTTGGCCTTAGAAGGCATGACAATCGTGAATAACTGGGTATCACTGTAATTGTTATTTTGTTAACAGTGCGCTGTAACTATGCCAGCCAGCTTAGTCTGATCTTGGTGTAGTAACAAGGGTGAATGTGATTAGGCTTTACAAGAAGGATTTTAATATGCATTGCTGCAGTTTTCATATTGCATCTGAAAAGTGTGCAGATCGCTTTCAGCAAGGTGATTTAAAATCCCATGTAAGTGTGCAGCTTCCTGAGGAATAGGGTATAAAGTCTTACACTAAGTGAATCTCTTACAAGGGAGTTAAACGCTAATCATGATTTAACTTGTGTAAGAAAACCTATTAAACAGACTCAAGAGGTTGTATGTTCTTTTTTTCTTATGTTTTTAGAACAGAGATTTGTGCTCAGATCTGAGCAGTATACCCACCCAATTCAAAATAAAACTGTTCTTGATACCTCTACCTATTACTTGTGAGGCATCAGCATACTAGCAGCAAATAAATAAAACTGTATTTCAGAGCGCTGATCTGCAAAAGCTCCATTAATGAATGTTTTTCTGAGAATGTGCAACTCTGCAGGCTTCCTAGTTTACAAGTTTTGAATACTTGCCCTGCCCTGTCATGAGTTTACATGTCGTTAAGATGATTTCCAGCATAGAAAGAGAGAACTTGTTGGCTTGTGCCTATGTGCATGACACTACCAGAAATCCAGGGTGGGTATTTCTGGTTGTTTGCAAGCACTGTTATTTTCACAGAATAGCTGAGGCTGGAAGGGACCTGTGGAGCTCACATGTTCTGACCCACTTGCTGAAGGAGAGCCTTCTAGAGCTAGTTTCCCAGAACCAGGTCCACACGCCTTTTGAACTTCCCCAGGAGTGGAGACTCCATGACCTCTGGGCAACCTGTGCTCAGTATTCAGTCACCCCTACTGTGAACTTGATGTCAATGGGAACCTCTTGTTTCTGTTAGTGATCGTTGCCTCTTGTCCTGTCAGTAGACACTGCTGAAAAAAAGGCTGCATTTTTCTTTGCAACTTCCCTACAGATGTTTACACAGATACAGGAAATCAATCCCCAAGTGCCTTCTGCCCTTCCACCCCAAAAATGCTTTCTCTATGCTGAACAGTCCCAGCCTTCTCATCCTTTCCTTATAAGAGAGATGCTTCAGTCCATCAGCTTTGTGGATATTCACTGGACTGTCTCCAGTACATCCAAGTACCTCTTGTACTGGGGAGCCCAGAACTGTACACAGTACTCCAGGTATGGCCCTCCCCAGTGTAGAGGAGGAAGACTGCCTCCCTCTACTTGCTTATAGTTTGTCTAATGCAGCCCAGGATACCATTAGCCTTCTTTGCATCAAGGGCACATTGCTGGCTTACATACAAGCTGATGTCCACTGGGACATGCAGGCCCTTTCCTGCCCAGCTGCTTTCCAGCTGGGTGGCCCCCAGCATGTACTAGTGCATGGGTTTATTTGTCTCCAGGTGCAAGACTGCAGTTCTCCTTGTTGAGCTTGTTGAGGTTCCTGACAGACCATTTCTTCAGCCTGTTGAGGTCCCTCTGCATGGCAGCACAACCCTCTGCTGTATCAGCCACTTCTCCCAGTTTGGTATCATCTGCAAACTTGCTGAGGGTTCACTCTGCCTCATTATCCAGGTCATTAATGAAGATGTTGAGCAGAATTCAATCCAGTATTGACCCTTGGGGTACATACAGGCTACTGGCCTCCAACTGTGCTGCTGATCACCACCCTCTGGGCCTGGCAGTTCAGCAGGTTTCAATCCACTTGACTGCTCATCCAGCCCATAGCTGAACAGGTTCTCTAGTTTAGCTGAAAGTAGTTTGAGGTTAAGCCAGGAAATAGCAGCTTAATTTTCTAAAGAAGATAACTAGTTCATTTATAACTGGAGAAAAGTGTTAGTGAGTTCTTTCTATGGAATAAGCAGGTGTCTTTGTTTTACTGGACAGATTTGAAAGTCTAATCCATAATTTTCTGCTTGAAGAGCTATTCTGGAGAACTTAATTTTACATAAAAACCACAAACCAAACTCAAAATAACCCTTGGACACGACTTTTTACTTGATGCCTTCTTGTCTTTAGGGGGTCTGGATTTAAAAAAAAAATCCAATCTCTCATACATATCGTAGGATCAGTATTCGGAAGTTCAGAGTTCAGTGATGTTTTAACTTTGAACTGATCCCCACTGAAGTAGAGAGTGCCCTCTGGTGTACCCTTAGAAGAGCCCTTGGTCTGTAATAGGGAAGCATGCGCTAAGCAGCCATGTGAAAACCAAACTGGTTCTACATACCTTTCGTCTTTGACAGCTTAACTTCTGTAACACAGTTGCAGTCTGATTTTTTTTTTTCCACTTTGTTTTCAAGTTGTTGTTTTCAGTAATACAGCTTTTGAAGAGCAATAGGTTAACAACTGGCTAAGGGCTAAAAAATTTCTTCATCTCCTCTGCCATCCTTTTCTCCAGTTTCTAGCAAGAAATGCATTGTGCAGATATTGATGAATACTAACTTCATTCTTTTTCAAATGAATAAGAGTATTGCTGTAAAAATGAGAAATCTTACACAAATTGTATACATCTTAAAATTGATACAAATTCCATATGTGCATTCAACTGTGTATGTGAAGATGTGCATGGTGTTTATTAAGTGGAAGATGAGATTTGGGATGTGCTCCTTTAAGGAGCTTTTTCCTGTTGTTACTTTTCCTGTGAATGTTTAAAGGTACAAGTAACAGTAGTTCATGTGTCTTTTCTATATAAAATACCAGACCTTGAATCATCAGACAGAAATCTAAATGTTCAAACAAAATTAAGTTGCCTGTTAACTAAGCTCTTTTAAGAGGTGATTGTGTGGAGGACACTGCAGTTGTTTATGTATACAGTTTGTAGTTCTGTTAAAAGTAAACTCACTGAGGCTTGTCAAGCTGTGCACAGAGTACACTGACCAAAGTGCATATCTTGTATGCTTCCAAAGTTTTTGATACTGGTTTGGTGGGGTTTTTTGTGGGTTTTTGTTGTTGTTATTTTTGTTTTGTTTTAGAATAGTCAAAGGGAATCTTTCTTATTAACTTGGAAGTTTCCTTAAAGTAATATTTTCAACAGATAATATGCTCACTCATGGCCTTCCTTTGGCTATAGCCCTATATCTCTTTATAGGTATATATAAAATTAAATCCTGTACACCAGCAATTCTGTTGCTGTGGAACAATTATAGTGAAATTTGAATAAGAAAACAGATTAAAGCTGTGAATTGTGAAGAACTGCCTTCTCCTTTATCTCTAATGATTAATGTTTCTGTAATGGCTATGACAGTGTCATTCTGGGATCTTCTAGTATCTAGGGGTTGCCAAGTTCTATAAATGATGCTAGTGTTTACAGACAGAACAGAGAAAAGAAAGATGATGTCAGTCCATCTTACAGTCTTGTGATAGTTTAGTTAAATGTGATAAGCACTTAAACCTTATTTATCCCATGAAGCAAGTTTGATGTCTGTAGAGGAGAATGCACCTCTTTTTCTATAACCTCTTTTTCAGAAGGAGGGTGCCTAGATGTGAAGTGCATTGTTTTCCTTTCAATGATCATAGCTTGTAATGCTTGCAGAATCTCATGAGACCGAAAACACCTAGCTGAGAGAATGGGGAGATGGCATTTTACTGCTGATGGTTTATTTACATAGAATTAGTCTCTTAAATGAAAGTGTTCATCCACATAACTGGGATTTTATTAATCTGATTACGCTTGAAACTTAAACCAGAATGGTAGCCTTGTCATACAGAGAAGGCTTGAGAATGCAGAGACTGTTCAGGTGCCTAACTCCAAACATCTTGCCAAGTAAGATCAAAGAGGACTTTCAAGAATGAAATCCTGAAATATTAGAAGAATATTTCTAGGAAAGCAGGTTTCTTTCTTTGGAAAGTATTAATATCAGTAGAGGGGACATCTTTTAAAAAAGCACTGCATACTACTGATTCAAATTTTTGTGCTGAACTAACTTTTTTAGGCATCTTAAAATGCTTGGCTTGCTTTAATGAACTGCATTGTTGCTTTCTAGCATACTAATTACCTTAGACAGCTCCATACGTGACTTTGTATCCTCCGCTACATGTGCTTGCTTCCAGAACCCTTTTTGTCATGCTCTGGCCTAGGTCTTGCTGAAGTCTTAGGTTCACTGCCTGGTCATCCACTTTGTGCTTTAGAACCATTATGTACAGGACAGTTCTTGTGAAAGTTATGTTTTGATGAAGATTAGTGATCTAAACTGGGTTTAAAAAAAAAAAAGTAAACATGAATTTTGTGGTTCATCAGCAATTGCATGTTAAGTAGCTGGAAAAATTGTTTAAGGGAATATTGATGTCGCTTTTCTGCTACCAGTATTCAGTAACCTGGAGTGAGCTGTTGGTCTGCTAAACTCTTAAGTTCAAATAAAATTGTTCTGTGTCAATGTTCTTGAATAGTTTCAGAAGTGTAGTATTGAAGTCCATTATTTCAAGGTTTACATAGCAATTTCTAACAGTCACTTTTTACTCGCTATTTAAATAATCTGAAATAACTCCATCTTGTGCAAAAGGTTTTATTTCATTATGCAACACCGACCTGGTGTATGGGAAACATTCCCACAAATATGTTTTTGAATAATTGGCATAAATAATTAAATTGCTGTGGCAATTGGGCATGCAGCACAGTATTGTGCACAGTGTTGCAGCGGAGTAACAGTATGTAGAGGTTTTAAATTGATCTGCTCTGTCAAATATCCTGTTTGTAAAATAATGGGACATGTGTCCTCTCTTGCTCTTTTAAAAATTTCAACATTAAAACCAAACCCAATAAAATAGCTTCTCCCAGCAATTGCAATGTCTTAGAAGCAATGACTGAAATCTAATGCTGGTTTATTTGCCAATTTATATGTAAACCATTTTGGGAAATGGACTGAAGAGCATGGTCTAAGATAGTTAGGATTTTCCTTTTAAATACCAGTAGCTGACTTTCTCATGGTAATCCTTGACTAGTGTAGCATGAAGTCAGACTACTCCTATGCTAGCATATAGGGTTTTAAAAATGTCTTGCTGTTACGTCTACTTAATTTGAGCACAGACCCAGGTAAAACTGTAAAGTCCGTAGCAGCAAACTGGAAAATAGTTAACTGTGGATGCTTCAGCTAGTTCAGGAGGCACATGGAAAAAATACTGTCTCAGTAAATACCTGAGCATGGCATGACTCATGCTTTTTTTTATCCTATTGGGGTATTATTTTTTAGAATTAATTTATCTTTATTAATTTGATTGTTGCCAGATTTGTAGGATAGAATCTCTGATTATTTTTTTTTGCCTTAAAAGATTTTGCCTTTTAACCAAGTTACTTGCTTTTTTATAAACAAACAAACAACCCCCACACCCTTCTGATTCTCTAACTAGTATCATGTAAAATCATCTAAACACAACAATGTGCTTAATTTTTGGCTTTCTTGTCTCTACACTCAGTGTGCTATTTTAATATTTACATCCATGCATTGCTTAAAATAAAAACTTAAAGCAGTTCCTGAATTTTTAATGACTAGTATCTTTTCAGAATCCTTACTCAGTGTATGCATTGCTCAGAGTAGTTGCTTGCTATGATTTAACTTTTATATAGCATCAGGAAAAAAAAAATGTACTTTATCCCTCTCAGTATGTGTCCCTTCCTACCCACAGGATGTCCTTACTGTTCACTATCATCTGATACCATCACCATCAAAAAGTAAAAATGGCAGCAAAGACAAAGAAAGAGAGCAGGAAAAAGAAAAAGATGTAAAAGAAGAATTTGCTGAAGCTTTAAGAGATCTAAAAATACAGTGGATGACCAAGTATGTCTGCTGTCATGACTACGCAAGCTTGAAGCAGCTGTACAAAAAAATAGCCAGAATCTGTGCTTTCATGCTATGTCCTCCTCTCTTCTAGACTGGATACCACTGACATGTATAATGAGTTGAAAGAAGCATTTCCTAATCATCTTCCATTGTACGTTGCAAGACTTCATCAGCTGGATTCTGAAAAGGTCATTTAATACATTTTAAACTTGCTTGTCTCAATACTTCTGTGTAGCCTAAACAAATGAATCTTTCTTCCTACGTATTTGGTCTTGAAGTGACCACCAAAGCTATAGTCAATACTATAAAGCAGAAGTTCCTAATTAGATTGACAGCTGCCTCCCTAACTGTGGGATTTACTTAATCCCAGAGCAAAATGAAGTAGAGTATGCCTACCTAATATGTTTGCTTATCATTTACTCCTTGTTAAATTAGACACATTGTAAGTTTTCTTACTGGTTTCAGCTGTAACAATATTATTCTAAATGGTGGTTACAGAGACAACCACACATCCCATTCTACTCCTATACTGGTTTGGTAATTTCTTCTAGCAGAATTGCACAGTCACCTGAGGGGACAGTAACCCCTTGAAATGACACAGCTAAATCCACCATCTGTCACTGTCTTCAAAAATTAGGACCATGATTTCATAGTGCTAAATATCTTTCTTATCCTTCTTCTAGGAACGAATGAAAAGACTTGATGAAATTGTTGAAGCTGCAAATACTGTAATTTCTCATATTGATCAGACAGCATTAGCAATATATTTTGCCATGAAGACCGATCCCAGGCCTGACGCAACTACTATAAAAAAGTACCTACCCAGTAAATAATTTTCTTGCATCCTATTTCTGTAATTTATGTACTTCGTCTCTGCTTATAAGAAATGGAATTACTATAACTTTGTTGAATAACTTGTGCTATTTTTAGGGGTTCAGGTAATTTCAAATTTGACTGCAAAATTATTTTGTTCTTTTATATCTCTAGAATGCAGGAACACTGAAACCTGCACATTTTTACTTAGAAATAGTAAATAAACAAGCGTGCTTTCAGGATTTAAATGTGTGAGGAAAATGCAGTTTTGTGTAAAGATCAAGGCTGATACAAGTTTAAGCTACTTTGTATCAAGATTAATCTCAGATCCCAGGGACCACTAGAACATCAATCTAGAGGTATGTGTTTTGAATGCTACCTGCCTTTTCATAATACCTTGCAACCTTTTGGATCTGTATTTGAAAAAAAAATTGACAGCAGTCTAAGAAGTGACCGCTTTCATTTGTGAAAAGCATGGCAACTATACTTCAGAGTATTTTTGAGGCCCGTTGTTCAGGCTTAGATTGTTCCTGTGAATTACCAGTATATATACTTAGGAAGACAGTATTTCGACAGTCACCTTAGTCTGGAGAATAACCAATGTATTTCAAGCACGTGATGTGATGCTGGTTTAGTCACAAATAGAGCAACAGATCTGAAAATTAGGCCCTTAATATGGGAGACGCTTACTTGTTATTTTAGATAAAATACCAGGTTTCAGTTCTAAAACTAGGTTCTATCTATGCTGAGTATTTGTGTGTAATTCTAGAATTGCTGATATAAAAGGAAAGCTCAGATACAGTAAACTTCATTCTGATACCATTTCTTGGTAAGTTGACCCATTAGGTCATGTGGTTGAAGCTAACATCTGAAATTGAACACTGAATTCAGTGGTACTTTAGATGGGTGCAATTCCTTTGAAGTTGACAGACTTGTATCTGTTTATGTTAGTGGTGGATTTGACTCTCTGTTTATAATGCCAGGAACTCTAAAGTTGTATTTCTAGATGCTGGCTTACTCAGTTTTAGAATCCCGAGTTGCCCTTGCCTCATCAAAGGCATTTCAGACTTAGAAGAATGATTGAGCTTGTTTAATGCATAGTGTCTCTAATTTTTTTACAGTTAGTTTATTTAAGTAGCTGTGCTTTAATTTTTTTTTTGTGCTGATTTTCATTTTATGTGTACTAACTGCTGCAGACATTTTAGCTTAAGCTCACTACAGCACTGATTCTGTTCTTAATGAGGTATCTGCAAAAAGACCTAATATTTTACGTACTGTTTTCCTCTAGTGAAATGGAAAAACAGAAGACTACTTTAGTGGATGCACTTTGTCGAAAAGGAAGTGCGCTGGCTGACCAGCTTCTTCATCTGCAGGCCCAAGAAGGGGCTGCTTCCAGTGATGCAGAAGGCAAAGATGAGGATCATGAGAGCTGCTCTGAAGCTTTGACAGAGACATTCTGGGAAACAACAAAATGGACTGATCTTTTTGACAGCAAGGTAAGAGAGCAAAGCAGGATTTTTGGATTTTGCATGTTGGGTTTTTCGATGGCTTCTTCTGGAATTATGCACCGCCTTTGTGTGCACAGCCTCATACATTCCTCCCTTGTACTTTTTCATGCTGTCCCGTATATTGTGTTTCCTTACTGACCTTTTTCCACAGAGGTTTTGCCAAACCTGTCAAATCCATGGTAAGCCCATCCCCATGCATGTGAACGTAGAGGTTAAGGGAAGGGTGTAGAAAAGTACCAGACTTCCATGAAAATGCTACTTGCTTTGTTGAATTGCTTCTTTCTGTACCTTTCAGGGAATATTTTTGATTAACCCCTGCGCTGTTCTAGCTGTACACACACAGAAGTGTGCAGCAGCCCTGCTCTGTTCAGTCCTGCATTCTGTAGCCTCTTCTACACTATGGACAAGAGAAGTTTTATGTTTTGCTGTCAGTAATGTTTGTAGAGGTAAAGGAGAAACCCTTGGAAAAAAAATACACTTACATATTTATTAGTACAGATTTCCCTGTCATTTCAGGGTTCCTAATACTGAGATTTTAAATTTTTGTCTGCTTCATTCAGGACAGCTATTCCAGAAGAATAAAACAATCCATTGTATGTGATTAGTTATGTAGCTTTTAATTTACAGAGTTTATTACTTTTTACATTTAACTGTTGAATTATTGAGAATTAATTAGTTTCTGTACTTAACTCTAACATATGGGTCTGTTTTGGTTGAAGGTGAAGTGACCAGTATGTTTGTTTATAAATCAGTTAAATTGCCAAAGCACTTCATATAGTTACAAACAAAGAAATTTGAAATTAAAAAAAAATGCTTCATTTCCTTGGCAGTAAATAATCTTCCCAGTAAGAACTTGTGCTTTAGCTGGAGGCTTGAACAAAAAAGTTGATGGTAGTTACCCTCACTTCTTTTAATGTATATTTTCTTGTACACCTACATCTTCTCAGCATATCTCTTCTAATCTTTGCCCAATTATAATATCATGTGGTAGCAGATTTTGTGCTTTAATCATGTCATCAGGCACATGATTTTCTTGCTCTCTGTTTGTAAATACAGTACTGCAGTACTGTGTTCCACTATAGTGACCCTCTGGTTTGTTTTTTTTTTTTTGGTTTTTTTTTTTGGTTTTTTTTTTAAACTCACAAGGATCATTTCAGTGGAAAAAACAGCCAACATAGACATCTTGTTGGAAGTTTATCACTTTGTTACAGGTTGTTTTTCTTCTAAGACTGATATTGGTTCCTGGCACTCCTAAGCTGTGGGCTCTGGGGCTGGAATGAGTAACTGATTTGAATTGCACAGGTCAGGGATTGAACCTGTCTCTTTGGTTGCCTTAACCATGGATTTGTCTAAGTGCGTATTCGTTTTTTTTCTCTGAAAATTGATGTCTCCATGTAATTGAATTGGTACTGAAAAGACTACAAAACTTTTTAGGTCTTTATAGTATTTCACATGGGTATAACTTCCATCCTGTTTACGCAGTATGTTTGCCTGCTTTTTCCTCTTGGTTTTACTAGTCAAATTGAAATATAAAATGGTTGACTGTCATGAGCCCTACACAGTCACTTTCTCTCTCCCCTGCAGCAGGAAGGAGAACTGGAAACATAAAACTGTCTTTATCTCAACCCATGAGTTGTCTCAATGTAATAGGTAAAGTAAAACCTGCATGCACAAGCAAAGCAAAAGCAGGGAGTTCATTCACGACTTCCCATTGGCAGGCAGAAGTTCAGCTATCTCCAGGACAGCAGGGTCCACCACATGTAACAGTTCCTTGGAAGTAGCTCTACCTTAACTCTGAACATCCCCTCTTCCTCCTTCCACATTTCTTTTATTGCTGAACATGATGTCTCATGGAATATCCCTTTGGTGCTGGGTGCATCCCTTCCCAACAATTTGTGCAGCCCTAGCCTGTTCACTAGCGGAGTGAGGAGCAGAAAAGGCCTTCACTCTGTGCAAGCACTGCTCAGCAACAGCTAAAATATCCCTGCACAACAGCTAAAATATCCCTGAGACTTTAGTTTTTCATTTTTATACTTTGAGGTTTTCTTCTTCTGGAAACTCTTTGAAAGGGATGAGTGAGAATCATGTGGCTTGGGCCGTAATGGCTTTGAGAATTTTGCTTTGAAAGGAGGTGATAGAGCACTGTAATGATTTTTTGCTGATAGCAGATTTGTGGGGAAAAAAACTTTCATTTTTCCTTCATTGCTTCCTAGAAGTTTCACGCTTGCTGCTATTCATATTTTTTCATTTCCTTTACTAATAGATGTCATGTCCATCTAGTAGTTTTCTTAGGAGTTGGCTGTAATGATGATAGAAATGTTTTCTGCCCTACATGATGGTCTAGTGGGATGTTTTAAATATCTGCAGTGGCCATTGGTCATCTTCCTTTGCAGCTTCTTCTGTCTTTTTGGAAGAAACAGTCGTATAAACCTTCACCTTGGTGTTACATGCAATATGCTGTTGTATTTCTGGAGTATTTTGCTATTTTAAAAACAAATTGAATAGCTTAGTGCAAGTAACTTTATTTCACGGACTGTTAGAGGAAAATTTGGAATTCCCCCATTTAAGGGAAACCAGACTGTTCATGTAGTTTGCTTCCTTTGAGATGGGAAGTTTAATGAACAATGTAATGTTTAAGGCTTCAAAACAGATTCTGTCTAAGAAATGAGTATTTTTGCTAGGGTAAGGGTAAAAGTTTCTCAGTCCAGCTGACTTGGTTGTGCTTGGCAAAATTCACCTTGGTAGGAAATAAATTATGGCTTTAACAGCCTTTTTGTGATGCCACTCTGGACTGACTTAGTCTGGACTGATAAAATGAAGTGTTGTGACATGGCTTTATCACCTAACCTTCCATGACTCACTTGCCTTTTGGGGGAATAGAAGAGATTTGGAAGGAGGAAGGGTAGAGTGGAGTAATGATGCAGGATCTGGGATAGACCTCGTGTGAATGTCCTTCAAATGAGTCCTGAAGAGGCAGACAACTTATTCTAAAGCATGATGTTGGAAGCAAAAATGTGGAGGTCTTCCTGTATATGAACATGGTTTTGTGGCATTGGCACTTGAAAGATGGAGCAACTGGTTGAGAAAAGATGGAAATAAGGCACTTGAATACTGCACTGATCATTCAAGTATATATGGCTTTAGACAGAAACATCAAGTTTTTTTACCTCTAAGTTTTCTGTAAGTCTCAGATCATCCAGATGTCAGTAATTAAAAGGTGAAGTAAATTTTTGAAGACAGAGACCATGTTTTCTTCTATGTTGTTTTCAAAGATGAATCAGGAACTTCATCACTTCTCTGTGCATTTCTGCCCACCATCTAGTAAAACAAGTACTATCACTTGTTTCACCTCTCTTCTGCAGACGTAGTACCTGTGTTGCCACAGGGCATTTGTTAGTTCTTTTGAATTGTCAGTTTTCCATTGAAATATCATGCTTGTCCCCATACTGCAGCAGGCATGTAGGAAAGCTGGTGCTGACCTTTGATAGTGATTGCATTTGTTCCCATTTTCAGCTATTCTAATTAGATCACTTGTCTCTGAAGATTTATTTTGAGTGAAACATGAAAGAAAACATTTATGTCTCCTGCATACACTAAAGTGGTTCAGATAAACTCCACTTGAGACAGCTTTATGCAGCAAGTATTTGTCTGATTATGCTGACACATTTGTGATAGTGCTTTAGGGGTTTTAGTAATGGAACATAAGATGTGCAATTTTTCTTATACCCGGAACATAGCTTTAAAATTTGTAGGCCCAAATCCCCAGGCTTAAACGTAACTGCTGCAGGAGAGTAGTAGGATATTGCCTGTTTGTTACTGGGAATGTCTCATCTGTAGAATTTAATGCCCTTCAACCTTTAAATTAACTGAAAAGCAAAAAGTCACATCTAAAACTACGTTTAAAAAACAAATGAAAGGCCTGAACCTTTCTATCTTGTCTATTAAACATCTTTGGCTGGATTGTTTTCCATGTTGCTGTTTGCACTGTCAGATGCAGCTGTCTTTTCCAGCTGATTGTATTCAGTCACTGCCAGAATTTTGTTGAATACTTGATTTCCTTAACTCCTCTCCCTCTCTTGAAAATATGATGAGTCAACTTTTTTATATGAATATTGCTTTTATTTATAGTAGTCTAGTTGATAGAGCAGAGAGAAGCCAACAACTGTAGCTGAGAAACCTTAGTTTATTATCATAAATGTATTAAACCTGAAAAAAATAATTTCCTGTTACTAGTATTTTAATTATTTATAAATGTAGATATATTTTGATCAACTATTGTATAATCAGTTACTTTATTATTTCAAGTCTTTTTTTCTTCTCAATAGGTAACAGTATTGGGATACTAGAAAAGTTTAATTAGATAGTTTAGTGTTGCTGGATTCAAAAAGTGGTTTCAGGCTTCTGAATACTTTGGCCCTGCAAATGGCAAATGTCTGAGGACAAATGGTTTCAGCATTTTACTGACCTAACTATGCATCTTTCTGTAGCCAATGGCAAGTTAAGCAGCTATGTAGGACATGGACATCCAACCTCTTCCATGGGTCTGGCTCTTCACACACTTAGCACTGCAGACCATTGCCTTGGGCAATAAAATATCCATCAGTGATTCCCACCACCTTACCAGTATCCTCTAAGTATGCATTGCCTTTTCTTACAACCCTTTGTTTATCGCTCTGGCCAATTTCTGGGCCATATCACTTGTCCTGTAAAAGCTAGTCTTAATTATATTTATTGAAATTATGAAATAACACCAAATACTTAGAATTCATTCCTGTTCTTTCATCTAGCAACTGCTTTTAGATACTGCAGACTGTTTTACTTGCTGTTATTATACATTCAAATAGCAGCTGTTTTCTTGGTTACATCTTAATAGCACTCCAGTTTACATTTTGTTTACATGTATCAAGGAATTACAGTCTTCACTTCTGTGATCTTTTAAAGCTTGCAATATTTTAATTTAAGGCTTAATTTGACCAATATGTGTATAAGATATAAAGCATTATTTCTTACCTCACATATTTTGTTTGTAAACCTATTCTGATATTAAGAATCTCATGCATTATTCTTAACTTCTAAAGTGCTAATGAACCTTTAGTATTTTTACTTGTATGCAGTGGATTGGGTTGTTTTTTTTTTTTTTTCCAAGCACTAAAACAGAAATTACTGTCTTTTTATCAAGTGCTTTTGGAGCATTGTTTTCAAACTTTTGGTCCAGCAGAGAACTTTTCTCTCATTTAGAAATACCCAAACTTTTATTCGGCCAGAGCAAGGGTGTTTCGTAAAATGCTTTGTTTTCTTGCCACAAAAACTCTAGGAAGCCCTGTTACGAAAGAAATGCTGTCAAGTGGCTTTCCTCCTGCCTTTATCACTGATGTTCAATAACCATTCAAAACTTACAGGGTCAGGTAAGAGATTTCTTAATAGAGCAGTGACATTATTTCTGGATAGCCTCCAATATGTTATATTTGCTGAGAGCTCAGATGCATTTTTCATTTTACTTTTTATTTGTTATGTTTTTGTTTTGTGGTTCTATCATCTTTTATAGAAGGGAATTAATGTTTTCTTTATAAGCTTAGTTTAACAAACTAAAGCTGCTTATGGATCCACTGAGCAGTTATTCAAAAGTGTTTGCTAATGTGTTTTGCTTTAAGAAAATATCCAAAATAATTGGATGGAGAATGCAGCATGCAAAGTATTTTTCCAATAGCAGTATTTGGAAAATCTCTATGTGAATGGTGCTGTATACTCATTGTCGCATATGTGTGTGTTTTAAGCTATGACACCTTAAGTATGAACACCTCAACACAAGAAAAAAAGTACTTGAAGACATAAGAATGAGCAACTCAAAGTGCTTGGCATATACTTTAGAGCTTCAGAATTACATCTTTATTTGCTTGATAATTAGTAAATTATTTCTGGTTTTGTTTTGTTTTTTTGTTAGCTCCATTTGATCCTGCAAAGCCTTGTGCGTGTGATTGACATTCAGTGGCAGTGTTCAGGCGGATAAAATTAGGCAGGTTCTTCAGTCCTTGCGGGATTCAGATCTCAGATTCCTTTATGGTTTAGGTTCTTATGATAGTTATTTTTTTTTCTTTGCTTTACTGCAAAATACTTATTTCTGAACATCCTTGAAGCGTGTTTGTTAGCTTTTCTTAAAGGGATATTTTAAGTGGGCATTGGGAAAATGTAACTTTTGTTTGAAATGATATAAAGAGTGAGGGGAAATGAATAACGAACTAATACGAGATTTCATAAACTTTGCCAGCAACAGAAAGACCACCATGTTAACCAACTTTACTGGTATGTCGCTCTTCAGTAAAAAAAAAAGAAACCCTTTATTTACTATGAGTGTTTGTCCTGGTTTCGGACAGTGGAACATTGATAGTGTTCCAAAGGGAATATATGAAACCATGTCTTGATTGCACTAATTCTTAGTGCTGTGACTGGTGAAGTGGTATGAACTACCTTGCAACACCCTGAACACTGTCAATGCTTGGGTGTTAAGAACCTGATTTATTTTACATTAGGTCTTAAATAGATACATTTATTTGCACGTGTTAATTATAGTATTGATGAATACTGTAAGCTGTCTCTAGAATTAATGTTATCAAAAGGAAGCTTTTTATAATATCTTCTTAATAAATTACCAGTAGCGAGGAGCTGACCCCAGACTTGAGGCTTGTCTCCATGCTTACTTGTTTTCATTGCTTGTTTATAATTATGTGCATTTCTCTCTGTGTGTGTGTGTGTATCATTCACTATGTATGTTCATACTTGTTTCTACAGTAAGTTTGTGACTTACTAGGAATCCAACTTCTCAGCTGGGTCTGTTTCTGTGGGTCAAAGATATACCTGCCTGGTTCTTGATATTTATTTTTTTTTCTTTCATACCATACAATTGCATCTAGAGAATGAAAATCCAAAGAAGGTAGAAATGTAATGAATAAAGAATTAGAATAGGGACATCTGTGTTACATAAGATGTTCTGAAGTCAAATATGTTCATGAAGTCAGAAATAGTCTCTAGAAAGTTCATGTTTATAATTACTCCTGTGAATTGTTCGTTTTACTGAAAAAAAAGAAATGCAAACTATCTTGTGTAAGTATTGTACTTTGTTTAAATCACTTCTGCTACCTGAACAGAATCTGCTATTACTTGTTAAGCCTGGTAAGATTAAAATATTGAAGTATCTGATTTATTTTTGTTTTCACATTGTAGGTTTTGACTTTTGCCTATAAGCATGCATTGGTAAATAAAATGTATGGGAGAGGTCTCAAGTTTGCCACAAAGCTTGCGGAAGAGAAGCCAACGAAGGACAACTTGAAAAACTGCATCCAGGTAAGGTATTTGGTAAAGGAATGCATTGTACTCATGCTACGTAAGCTTTTTAAAGTAAGATACAGGTCTTTCTGAATTTTTGGTACACTGTAGAACTCACTAAATACAGCTTTAAATTTTAACTTTATCCAGGCTTTAGTGGCTTGGCCTCCATTTTTAATAGTGATTTCTTCTTTCTTTTTCTGGAATAGCTACTTTGTGAGTAACTGTCATTTTTAGCAATTTACATTCTCAAACCTGCTTTGGGGAGTAAAGGACAGCAGAGACAACTTAGCCAAAGATTTTCTGCATGTTTAAAATCCCATTATGTTGCTGTTTAACCACTGTTATTTTTACTACTATTAATCACAATTATTGCTAGTAGAACATAGGTAGAGAAATAATGGGAATTAGTGTAACTCTTGGGACAAAATTTTTGTGTGTTGAGTTGAAAGACTGTAGATCATATAAAATGGTTTTTGCCTTTCAGGAGCAAGTAGGAGATCACCGGTTCTCCAGCCTGTTAGCTTTCTAATAATAGATGTATTTAGTAAGATGTTGATTTCAGTGCAGTGCTTGATTTTTAGAAAGAGTGAGACCCTAGAGTTTCTCATTGTTTTTAATGTTTGCTTTTTTTTTTCTTCAGCTAATGAAGTTGCTTGGATGGACTCATTGTGCAAATTTCACTGAGAATTGGCTTCCTGTCATGTATCCACCTGATTATTGTGTATTCTAGAAAACCAACAATTGTAAACTTAAAGTGATTTTATATGGGTCAGGATATTAAAAGATAAGTTTGACTTTTTATTGGAATGCATGTTTTCATTACTGAATGCTGATTATTAAATTGTGTGTATTTATCAGTAGAGGCACCTGGGTACAGCTTAATACCGGTTAACCTAACTCCTGTCACCAGGAAGTTTCCTTATTGTGCATCCCATTGCTGGCAATGGACATGCCAGAACTGCCAACACCTAAGGATTTGGAATTAGGCTGGAAAGGCTTACTGCATGCATTTTTGGTTCTTAACTGTTACTTTTAACTTCAAACCTGCAAAAGCTCCATATTTTTTACAGTAAACTGAATTTTAACATGTTTGATCTTAATTTCGATTGTATAAAGGCCTTAAAGCTACTTCAGGAGTAGCTAATATCTTATTTATTAGACTAAAGTAATGGGACATCATTACCTGGATTGTTTGCAAGAGTTTACATATAATTTTTTTTTTTTAAAGAAAAATTCAACCTCTCAAAATGTTACAGTGTGTAACTCGGAATTGCTGATGCATAGGTGCTCTTGTAAATCTTCATTTTGGGGTGATTTCAGGCAAACTCAAAAATCCACATGAAGCAGGGTATCAGGACAGGCTGATACGTATATAAACATGCCAGACAGTTAAATCTCAAGCAGGTATTGTAAAGCTATACGTATATGTTTAATAATGTTTAAAATGTAAACCACAGCAGAATAAATGTGCAAAGCTGAAGATCAAGAAACACCATGTGCGCTCTGATACTTTAAAAGATTCTTTTATAATTAATAAAAACAAATTATAAAGCTATAAATTGCATTGGTTTCTGAAAGAGTATATAAATGAAACTTGCTGGAAGAAAACACCATACAAACAACTGAAGTTCAATGCATCCCAGAAGATCAATGCTCTCTGTTAAAGACTTTACTAATGGTTGCTACTAATACTGTTCCTTCAGTGGAGTGAAATTGGTCTGTTTGAACAAGTCACATGTATCAACCAGAGACAAGCTGCTTTATCATTTTTCTTGCCAGTTTTTTCATAACTTAAAATGCAACACTTGGATACAATTGCAGCTTTACAAACATAAATGCACAGAAGATGCACCCTAATGCTGCAAAGCATTCCAAACTGTGACGTGCTGACACTAAGTCAAACTTAGGAATAGTTTTCTCTTTAATTCTCTCTTACTGTAACTTTAAGCAGCTTGACATTTGATTCTGGAAATTCTGCTAGAATCGTTGTGTTAAATATATTGCTGAGTTTTTCCAAAAATTCATAGTCTGCAGTGAATCTGAATTTATTTGCCCATAGTAATACTGTTCCTGGCTTACAAAAATACACCATTGTTGCTAGCAGATCTTCCAAAGCTGCATGATGATATACAACATCACTTGCCAGTATGAAATCATAATGGCAAATGGATAGAGGAAAGTCTTCATTGAGGCCTTCTCCCCATACCAGTTTTCTCACTTCAGGTTTGTGCATATTCATGTTTTGTGTATTTTTTGAAATATTATATGAGAGATTTTCAAGAACTTCAGGCAAATCAGTAGCCGTAACATAAGCTCCTGAAGAAAACATGAATTTATTTCAGTTCACAGGTATGCAGTTGAACATAAACATATATAAAACTATCTGCATAAGTTCCCCAGCTTCCCCCTCACCAATAATTAGGGTAGTTTCTTTCTTAACAGTATTTTACAGTACTTTTCATTTTTAAAAAAGCAATGACAAAGTTTACTAAAACTGTTGCTTTATTGCCTTAAAGAGACAGTGGCAGATCTAGATCATCTTTCACAAGAAACGCAAAAGGAAATATGAGTTTACTAACCTAAGATACAGGCCACAATGGAAACTAAGCCTGTTCCGGCACCAATTTCCAAAACTTTTTTGTCTTTGAGGTTGAATTGTTCTTGATTTGATTCCAGATACTGAGATAAAGCCAGTGCCTAAAACAGTTAACACATATCCATACGAGGGTAACAGGTAAGTTGCATAGAAATTCAGTAGATGTTTTTATACAGGGTTTGTTGTTTTGGTTTGTTTTTTTTATATACAATGAAAAATACTAAAGGCTGTAAAGTAAAAATGTAATATGGAAAGAATTATGATGTATCCTGTTTTTTTTATATTAAAAAAATATAAACCACTTATTTTTAGGTTTGGGTTTATGGAATATGGATTTGCTACAGATTTATACACTCTGAGTCCTCTCACAGCCTGAGGTAGGCAGTGTTTAGATGAGAACCATGCAGTCAGAACAGCACAGGAGGTTCAACAATATCTAAATTGTAATGTTCTGGTTTATTATCATAAATGTTATGGTTTATTATCACTGTGATAAAGTAGAGTCAGGCTTCAGCAGAGATTTTTTGAGAACTTTTTTTGAGAACAATTTTTTTTTTTCTTTTGCAAAGGAAATATAAAAGATTTGTTATTTACCAACTCAACACTGGTCTATTGGTAATGGTATAAGCTTTAAAAATCAAAAAGCCAAACACTAAAAACCAGCACTGATGTATTGCTTATCAGACCTTTGTTAAAATCTTATCAATAGAATATTTATTGGCTTTTTATGAACAACATAAAGGAATGCCAAAGAAACTACCTTCACCCCTTTGCTTCTCTTCTTTAGAGTTGTGTTACTGTTTTAACTCTTGTGCTTTTCATAATGCAACACTGGCTACCTGTTCTGGGAAAGCTGACAGCTAATGAATCACCAGGCCACTTCGTGCAACCTCTCAATTTTCTTGGAGAGTTTTACCATCTGCATTCTGACACCTGATTAATGTGAGAACTGATGATCTGACACTTCAAAATATGATACTGTTTCACTCACCCATATGCTTTCTTTTCTCTATTGTTTTGAAATTGCCATTTTCTGTGAGCTTTTTCAATAAATGTGGATCTGAAAAATTTTGAAATCCTAATTTTCATGTCTTTATCAGTTGACCCTTGTTTCCCCCAAAGGCGGTGTTCTCAGTTCACATAAAATTCTGGTTTTAAGAGCAGGAGAAGCAAAGGCTGAAGAACTGTTTGCAAGTACAGTTCTCCATTCTGTAATGGAACTGTTCCAGCCTGCTCTTTAGAAGTGTATTTAATTTTTTAACCGCCTTTATTTAATCTGTTTTCTTTTTCAGCTTCCTTTTTGTGTACTGCTGATTGTTTACTTCCCAGCAGTGAATTGAAAACAAGGAGAAAGCTGAACACTTCTTCGCAAGTTCCCTTTCTTAATTTTTTTTCAGTATCTGCATCCAATTCACAAATACTTGGGTGCCACAGTATTTTTGGCATGAGCTGGCAAATTAGCATAAGGCAGAGCTTTCTGCTGAATTTTCTCACAACTTTGTTCTGCATAGGGAAACCTCTGCTGTCCAAAGTGTCCTCTAAGAAAGCTTCATTAATGTTTGTGTGCCACTGTCATGGTTTACTCCTCTTCCGTTGTGTCAGCTTTCTGGGTTCTGTGTCACGTACTTACCCCTGGCCATACCACAGCTCCAAAATGTTCTATGGACTCCTGAATGACGATCTGGTGGCCAACATACGTGTAGTGCTCTTTATCGAAGTAGTGCGAAATCCGAGGAGCCCAGCTCTGTAGTATTTTAAGAGTTACTGGTGAATCTGTGAGAGAAAAGATGAAATCTGTATTGTTACATGCAGGTGTTGGTATGGAGCTTGTTAAATATAAAAAAAATACATAGGCACATGGGCTAGGAAACCTGTTGGGCCATTGGCCTTGAGACTGGTTGTTATCCAGAAGTTGATGGTCTGTCTGGCCAGGGACTGAGAGGAGAAATGGTCATTTCCTGCCATTCTGAGTGTTTGTATGGGCAATTTACAGATAGAAATGAAGCTTTTAGGAAAGATACTGATTCAAATGCATAAATCTGCTAATAACCACTACAAGACTTTCAGGGCTAAATTAGCCCGTATTTTTGGGGTGTTCATACTATGCCAGAGTATGCCATGCAGGGGGTTGTACTTGTAGTTTTCATCTAGAACATGAAATTTCTTTTGTAAAAAGGGTTTTAGGATTTTCCTCTTACATTGGGGGGGGGGGGGAAGCTCCTTTTTGTGGTTATTTATTCTTCCATAAAAGAAGGGCTGTAAGATACTCCAAGGATACATTGACATATACAGTGTCGCTCAGCAAGTCAGTATTACAGTAATGCTATCCTGTCTTATTGCACCAAGTAGGCTTGTAGGTGAGATTTTTCAGGAGAGCCCTGCTGAACTGCTCTGTCTGATCTCAGTGAAAACAAAGACATGGTTCTGAATGACTGTGCTGTTGGTGGAAGCACAGATGATTAACTTCAAAGAAACATTTTGCTCTGGCTTGCACAGGTTTTACTTGACACCTGCCTGGAATCCCTAATAGATGTTTGAGCAGTTTAGCCTGTTGAAATGTGTAATACCACAGCTTCAACAGTGACAGCCCAATTAATGCATATTATAATGATATCTGTGTAATTGAGAAGTAATTCTCAGATGTCTAAATAAAATCTGGAGGCCTTTTTAAACATCCGTCTTAATTATGGAGATACTCCTTTTTGTGATTTGGTCTGATAATAAATACAAATGTAAGGGCAAACGGTGGGAAAAATTATAAGAGATCAAAAGGAAGATTGACATGGTGACCTCTGTTTGAAAAGAGAATAATTAAATATGAAATGCTAGCATGTTATAGCAATTGCAATATTTAAATTGGATTAAACCTGATTCAGATTCTGCTGTTGATGATGCATGGTTGGAGCTGCAAGTGCAGTTTTCAGAACCATACTGTTCTTTGCAAGTTTCTTCTTCGTCAGTTGGGCAGTCCATTACTCTTTGAATTTTGTTGGGGAATGGTGGCTGCTGTGCAGATATCATGTCAAAAAAGCTGAAATGGAAGGGAGAAAACAACGTGAGAGCTTGCAGCCACTCTCTTTTTACGAGGTATAACTAGAAGCAGACAGTGCTTCGGGTGGGCTTTGCTTTGGGGCTTTTTCAGTGATGGGAGGAAGGGGCAGGAAGCCATGATGAGAGGTGACATCCCCACTCCACTGGAATTTGCTGCGAGCATTTTCTGTAGTGTAGTTGTACTGTCAGAAGTTTTATCATGTTCATCATGTTTATTTTACCATTTATGCAAAATTTTAGCATGTCACTGAATTGGTGCCACTCATCAGTCTGAAACATGAGCTACATGCATGGTACTTCTATCAGTTGAAGCGATAGCTGAGAAAGATGAGCAGTCCTTTAACATCCATGACCTTATATACATGATTTACCATTTCTCAAAGAACTCAGGACTTGACATTCCTGTGATAAAACTGGTTCTTTTGCTGCAGCCGGTGCTCTTAATTTTGTCTCCTTGTGTAGAATTGCTTTCTCTGCCTGTTTCCTGCAGGACAGCTAACTGAATTACCCTGAAATGTACTGAACTGTAGAACATGCGGATTGTAGTCAGGAAATAATTGCAGTGAGAAGTTTGAATCTGTAAGCTTTTTTTTGGAGAACTCTTTTGTTACAAATGACTGCATCTCCGGTGTGCAGGGCAGCACCCAACCTAAAAAGGATCTGTTTGATGCTGCTAACAAGCAGTAAAAGCAGGAGTAGGGCTCGGTCTGAATTTGCCTGAGGAGAAATATGCCAGTGAAACTTCTAGCATAACTGGAGTTTTCTTCAGTGATAGCACCTGTGAGTATGTGTAGATACATACACAGGTACATACGTATAAATAGGGAAAACAAATGGTTTGTAACTTGCTCTGGCCAGAAGCTGTACAAGTTCACTCTTGCCACATATCATGATGGCTGGAGTGTGCCGGTTTTATCTATAATTTGCCTTACTCTGCTCATTCTTGAGAACATGTATTTGTTTGCTCTCTCCAGCCACATGCACTGCAGCCAAAACGTTGTATGATTTGGGTTGCATCATGTTGCAGGAGGCTGTTCTGGATATCCTGGCCAGAAGGGGGAGAGGTTTGGTAGCGGTCAGAAGGTTCTGCAGTGCCTGCAGGTAGTTTTTTAAGGAGCAAGAGTGACTGCTGACTTGTGTGGGTGGTTTATTTGTACGTACAATATTGACACCATTGCAGTTTTACTGATACCTGATACATTGCTTATTGGTGAATAAGGACAGGATTTATTTGCAAGGACAGGATTTGTGTTCTAACTCCTGACACTGCATTTGTTTCAGTCGTGGCAGTGGCTTTGTAGTGTTTCAGAAAAGAGAGTTCTCCAAAGTAAATGGATTTTGGCAGATGTATTTTTTTTTAAATAACCTTTTTCCTCAGAAGGCCTCTAGCTTGCTAGTAACAAGTTTTATATAATTCGAGGTATCATGATGGTAGATAAGAGACTTAAGTTAATGCTGCAGTTACATGACATCTGAGTGAATGCGTCTGTTTGTGTCTCACACATGAAAGCGTGCCTCCTTACAACAGCAGTGGTAATCAAAAGTATACTTCCAGTTTTCAGCAATGCCTCTTTTTTATGCCTTGAGCTGGAGTAAAATCTGGTTGTGTTTCAATGATTAAGGAAATCTCTAGGAAAATACATCAAGACCTGTGTAACTGGGAAGGTGAATAATGGAAAGAGAAGAATCTGTCAGAACTGGTGACGGCTACAGCCAGAAAACAGTTGCTTGAAGACCCAGTCTTCTGAACGTCTCATGTTTAAACATGCAAAGCACATTTTCAGATTTGGGGGTTTGGGGTTGGCTGGTTGGGCTCCTGTTTTTTTGGTAAGGCTCTTGTAGCATGAGATTTGTGGTGTTTAGGTGGAAAGCCAATCCTGAAATTACATAGCAGGAGGAAACTTTGCCTTGTCTCTGGTACTGTTTCATGTTGAGAACCAGAAGGGCTTGTTTAGTGAGTCTGGGTAGAAAGCGATAGTTCTGTATTTTTTTCCTTGCTTAGACAAGTTCTGTCAAAATTTCAGTTGGCTGTGGGCAGCAGTGACTACCAGGAAATGGCTTGGAAACACGCTTAATAAATATACACTTGTTGCCGCACTGTTATGTACTTGCAAGAAATATAATTGCATCGCTGATCACAATATATATACTCTGTGATCACTCGGTACAGACTGAATGTTAAATTCAAATTAAAAACTTATGCTTTCTCCTGGTTTGTCCTTTGAGCTTTTCTAAAATAGGCGTCTGCTTAAATATTTATAAAGGCACTTTGCTGGTTTTATTAAATCCCTTCTTAAAATCATAGAATGGTTTGGGTCGGAAGGTACCTTAAAGATCATCTGGTTCCAACACCGCTGCGTCTAGAAGCTGGGGCTTCTAGATGCTGTAGTAATATCATTATCTTCTCACAGGTGTAGCTTTTGCTAAACAAAGAATTTGATATATATATTTATACATATCCTACCACCATAACTGTTAAATTATTTCCATAAAATGTAATCAAGTTACTGGACACATTTAATCTTAGAATTTCAAGTATCTCGGTAGTGTCTTGGCCTTAATGATGCACAGCTTTATTTTATCATTTTAAGTGACAAACCGCACCTGAAGACTACAGACCCAAGTGAGTATTGAGTAAGCTATTTGCAAGTAGGTAGTATTTGTGTTATGTGTAACATGGTCAAGTTGCTGCTGTGCTTCTAGAATTAAAAAACCTGATGTTTCTTACTGTTTTGACATTTTTTGGATCCATATTTTACTGCAAATGCTATACCTCTAAAAGGATTTTGATTGAATAATATTGCAGCCAAAATCTGTTCCCTTATGTGGATTCTTTCTGAATGTTAGCAGCTGCCTTCTTTCCAAACTGTCCTGATGGGAAATAATAATCTAAATTCTATGTTTTCCAAAATTTTTAAACCAGTCTTGACTTCATTAGTAGTCTTAAACTGTTGTGAATAAAGTACTAAATCATATGTGATTCTTCAGAACCTAAGGAAGAAAGAATAATTCACAAAATTATGTCTGCTTAATAATGCCACATAAAACTAACAATACAAACACTGAATGGCAAATTGTGAGATGATGATAAATTTTAAGGTAATGGTTTATCCCCTATGAGAATAAACATTGTGCACTTAAACATCCACAATCCATTGCTTGGAGAGAGCTTTTCACATCTAGCTACATGTCCAAAAGAAAAGTAGGTTAGTGAGCAGTACTGTGTCACTGGGTCTCCAGCTGTCAGCACAGCTCTGCTGAAATGTGTTTCTCTCACCTCCGCACAAAGTTGCACAGCGTAGTCTGTTCTAGTCTGAATTACTTGGGCAAAAGCCAATTCCATTTGCTCACATGGGAAATGCAATTGCAGCATATGCTTTGCACGATACGGTTAGCCATACACTCATACCATGCAGCAGCATCCTTGTTTCCTAGAGCTCACACAATTTCCTCATGTTATCATGCACTAAACAAACACATAATAATATAAATGCTAGGAAGTAAAGGAAATGTCAGTGCTAGGAACATCACTATAATAAACCTATATGCTAATTCAGTCCACAAGGTAAATGCAGCCACATACTGAAAACCAGCAGTGATAGTCACTCCTCACCAAGAGTAGGGGTTAGGTAAGCTGGGTTTCACGGGCTAGCAAGGGCTGACCTGGAATACAAGAATTCAGCCAAATGTTATTTCTGCTGCTAGTTAGCAGGGAGAACACAAAGGCACGTCATGCACCTTAGCTGGACAGCGGTTGCAGGTACCTGCTGTGACAGAAGGCACTGGAGGGTTCCTATGGGCAGATGCATGCCCCAGAGGTTTTTATACTACCTGGAGGGAGTAACTTTCAGCTCCGCCCAGTCAGATTGCAGGCTATTTCAAGTAACATTACCAGGCAGGGCTCAAAGAACTTACTGTGTTACACTAAACACACATTTACATGTGGAAAAATGCTCTTAGGCTCAGAATTCCCAAGAGAACCAATGTTCGGAAATAAAATCTCAGCTGCCTCCAACCGCTTGGTCTGTTATTTCAGATTAAGAGTTCCCTGTGTTTGCTTTACGCCCTGCAGTGCTGACCCAAACAAAAAACTTGCTGTGGGCAAACTATCCCATAAATAATGTGTGGCCACTCGGCAGTAGCCCAAACACAGAGAAAAGGTCAAGCTCCTAATGCCAGGGAAAGGTCAAGTCTTCCTTGCCCTGGTGAGCACCTAGCTGGGGAAGCTTTGGGTGTCCCATTCCCCCAACCCTGAGTCATGGAGAGCACAGAGAACTAACAAACAGTCCTGAGGAAATCAGCAGCTTCCCTGTCATCTTTAGAGCAGGTCATGACCACAGGAAATGTTGTATCTGCTGAAAGAGAGGGTGTAAACATGAACATCACACTTTCATCAGAAAATCTTGCAGTTCCTCGTTTTGAAACGGATATTATAGATGTGGGAGATAACCAAATATGTATTCCTTGCATGTCTCAAGAATTTGAGAGTTCTATATGCATTTACCATGTTGCTGCCCTTCTGTTCTCCCTTCTCCTTCTTGTAAAAGACACTGCAGTTTCTTTCTAAGGGGAGAAGAATTTAAAGGAACCTTGCATGTCATAAAGCTAGAAAACAATCCCCTGCTAATTAATGAACAACTGAAGGCTGGCAATAGAAATGGGGGGCGGGATGTAGATTCTTTCAGTCAATTTATAGACATTTGCATCTTTGGATGGACAGCTTTTTAATTCAGGTAATGCTCTCTTGAAGAGCAGCGAAGGAAAAACATCTTTTTCCGTCACTGGCACCGTGTATTACACACATTAGCTGCTGCATGTCTGTAGTAGTCACCAAACACAGGAAACACTTGGCTCCTTGTTCAAACGTTTGTTTCCCCTGAAATGTGATAGCTAAAAGATACTTTTTTTTTAATACTCGGGCCCAGTATTAAGATATTAAGTGTATTAAGCTGATATTGTAAACACTGCATCTCACAGACC